ACTGTAGCAGGAATTTCTCCGAATGGAACTGGGAAGCTTCTTTGGGGGAGAAAGCATTTTAGACCCAGTATGTGATTCGTTTGTCCATACAACTTTCTTTATTTTTTCACACTAAATTGAAGAATTAGGTGTTTTCAGGGGAAAAAAACACATAATTGTACCTTTTAAGGGTTTAGGGGTTACCTGGTCCTGCTGTTTTACCCTTGTAGTTTGTTCATTTGCTACGTAGCAACATTTCAGGGCCATTGAAAGTGCAATTAAGTGCCTTGGGGTCCAATTATTGTTCATTTAGGGTACAGAAGTGGCAAAATTACCCCAGGAGACAATGACATTTTTTTTTAATCCCAAATTTTTGTTTGTTTATATCATGGCAACACTGGTAAAAATATTAATCCAAGTGAATTTAATGAACATTCACTTTTTAGCCTTAGTTTATGTGGCTTTATTTCTGTCATCACTAATCTCTCATTTCATTTTGAGCTTTATATTTTTCTAAAACCATTTTGCAGTGCGACTGTGACCTCTCAACAACTCACATGTTGTATCTCTATTTCTCTTCCTTTTTTTCGACCTGTCCCTTCTTTCAATTGGAACTCTCTTCATGAATTTTTCAGGATTTCCAGACCTCCACTGCGGCACTCATATGCTGTCACATAAGCTCATCTGTGTTTTGGTTGACATCTGTGAGTGGAGAGTTTTGCACAGCCACAGTTGCCAGAGTTCGGTCTGAGGTAGTAGCTACTGAAACTGTTTGTTTGTTTACCTCCCGCAGCCACTTGGAGTCCATTAGCAATATCTTTGCCTCAAGAGGATAAATCACAGACACACTCACACACTATACACACTCTTCCTCTGTGTTTCTTTCTGTCTGGTTTTCAGCCCCGTTCAGGCTAAAGTCATACTTTTTGTTGAATAGTACTCCCGATTTCTTCTCTGGTTTTGGTCTCCACCATCTCTTGAAATGAAAATCTTTGGCTGGTGTAGTTCTTCCTTTTGATGCTGGGAAGAGTTAGTGTATTGGTTAACGGTATTACTTTTTTTATTCTCTTTGTTTTGTGTGTTTTTAAGTTTTAGTTTTCTATGATAATTAACTTGTGTGCTGGAAAAAATAAATCCCAGGGCTTTGACTTATAGAGTCTGGTGATAAATCATGGATTCGAGTTCCCATTTGTACCGATCTAATCATCAGGCATCTTTTCTTTAGTTTTCTATTCATGTATAGCCAAAACACAAATTTGTTGTCATGTTGAAGAGGCAACAAAGACACCATCTAGAGCCCACAGAAATGCCAGGTAACTGCAAAGCAAAATACTGCGGTGTGCATTTCATCATGTGAGCTTATTTTATTATTTATAATTCTATTTATTTATCTTTCTCTTTCCTTTTCCCTGTAGAGCTCAGCATCAGAACTGTTTAAGCTATGGCACAAAAACTAGCAGCCTATGTTTAGGAGGGGACAATAGTTCGGTCTCTCAGAGTTTACTCGGCATGTTGCCCGGAGGCTCTCAGGAGTATGCGGTAGGTTACAGTCCAATCAAAGTGATGTGACATTTTTTAATGATTGAAGCTGTAGCTCATACATCCCGCATTAGAGTGTGAATTTTAGTCTGAGATTATTGAATTGCCTCAGAAAACACTGTTCCAAGGGTTTAAACTGACAAACAGGCATTCTCTTTTACCCTCATCAGACACAAGTTAGACCTACATTATGGGTGCCCATAATTGATGCATATTGAGTGAACACAAGTGGGGAGATGGCAGACAATATCCAGCCCACAACAAATCATTTCATAGTTGTCTCCTTGTTACATAACTGAATGAATCATAGAGAGATTTTTTTTTCCTTTTTCAGGAAAGAATGATTTTGATCCTCACTATGTGCAGACGACTTCACCCAGCAAGGTCTATACACAGAGAGTGATGTTACATTATAAGCATTGATAAGCAGTCTCTCTCTCTCTTCTCTCTCTCCCTACATCCCATAATGATACTCAGACAGACTAAGGCAGACACCCGCTTGTTCCCGATTGGTAGAACTGTTGCCAGGGAGCGTTGCCGTCTCAACGTGGATAGAATCTGTTGTCTGGTACACTTTAGACATGAGAACAACTGCAGGATCTGAATATTTATAAAGAGAGGACTGTTCATATTGAGATTGTATAGAGGCAACATAAGCAAGAGAGGAAGGATGTGTTCTTACTCAGATCACCTCCAATTTTTTTTCATCTGGTTTGATTTTTTTTCTTGGGTTGCTGCACTTTAAATGTGATCTTCATTTTTATTATTACTTTTCTTTACCTTGATAAGATATTTTCTTAATGTGTTTTTTTTCTGCAGTGTGTGACACCAACTTTGAAACTGAACTTGCTTGAACTATTCCAAAAAGTCCCAAATAGTGAACGCATGAGTAAAAATTGCATCTGGCTTTAAGGGGTTTATATCAAACTATTATTCCATTGTTATTTGGTCGGCAGTTACAGTATAACTAGTAATTAAAATTTGTGAGTATGTGTGAGTGCATGTGTGTTTGTTTGCCATCTGGCCAATCCTCTCATTTCTTCATGTAATTCAAATAAGCCTGGGCTTGCAGCTACACTTGATAACAATGTATGTAGGTATGAATATTTTGTTAAAATATATGCAACAGATTCTGAAGGAGACTGACAATAGCAGTCAGCTATGATATAATATAAAAACCCATGGACTATGTTTGCACACGCACATGGCAGACTGAGTGCCAAAAGTCACAGCCGTGTATATAATGATGATTGTAAAAACACGCCTTGGTATGCAGGAAACTTTGACATGGGAATGCAAACACAGTACAAAATGTGGACACAGTTGCAGAGAGGCACACTCTCACACATAATCACTTATTTGACAAACCAGTTGAGGGAGTGTATGCTGTATATTTTGTTATCAGGGTCGTGCAAATTCTATATTTAATTCCGGCAGCAGTTGCTTGGAATTTATACGTCTGTGTTTGTGTGTGTGTGTGTGTGTGCATTAGTGCACTTTTAATGTTTGTGTGGATTTCTTTTGCACTTTTCTAAGAACGTACTCACCAAATACACTGGCGCATGCATCTACATGAACGTGCAGTGTCCGTGCATATGGGCGATGTGGCACACCACTGCCCTGTCTGCCTGACTCGACATATTCTCCGTTCGCTCTCTTTTGCTCTCTATCTCCTCCCTCTTTCTTTTTTTCCCTCCGCCCTCCCCTCCTCTTCCTCCCCTCGCTCTGCCTGGCTGGCACGTACATGCATGTCTGTAGACTCTGTACTGTGCTTGCTGCCGTGGCACGCGCCAACCTCACTGCAATGCAGCTCTGTGTGCATTAATTGGCAGAGAGACAGTGGGTACGTGGTATGCAGGGTTGGAAGGATAGAGAAAGAAAAGTCAGGTGGGTGGGGGGGGAGCAGGAGGCAACGTAAGAACACAATAGTCACAATAACTGATGGACGGACGGACCCACAAGCGGTCAGACGGGTTCTCCGAGGGACAGATAGACAAACAGAACGTGTATTGCTGAGTGTGCACAGTGAGATTACCTGACCGAGTGTCATGTATGAGAGAACAGGGGAGCGAGTGTATGTCTGTTTGCATTAGTGTGTTTGCGGATTTGTTTCCCTGCCATTTGACTGAGCTTTTTTTTGTGTGTGCTCACTCATGTGTGCCTGTATGTACTGTGCAGATATCACACACTGCTGGAGCAAAGCTCTTTCAAACCAAATTCTGACTCACTGTATTCAACGCTTTTTTGATATCCTCCCTTTCATATATCCGCTATGACTGAATTGTAAAAGTTTTCTCAGTTTAGCATAACTTTCTCCACTTGAGGTTTCTTTGGCAAAGAATGAAAAACAGCGTGTCTTGATACATTCTGGGGATGTGTTGGCACATAAAATGGGTTTGCGTCAGCTTTATATTTTGTCGTGTGATTTTGAAGGTCATTTCGTAAAAATGTATTGCTCTCCTTTCTGCAGCGCCTTGGTCGCGGAGCTATCTCCATCGTGCCTTTTCGGTTTTTATTCTGACCTGCAGGACTCAACATTTATGTTTGCACTTTCATGCCTACACACAATACAGTAGAATTTCTCTTACTCATCCGTCACAGGAGTTTTACATTCACATCCTCCCACACACATCTTTGTGGAACATATCCTCTCTGGTAGCGGTTGTATTTCTTGTAGCTGTTGTCCCGCTGCTGACTGTGACATCTGGCCCTTGTCCTCCCTAATCCACATCAAGGTACGTTTAGACAGGCCAGTTATGCGCTGACTAAAAAAGTAACGACCAAAAAAGAAACCACAGAAATGTCGCCTTAATACACCGAGCCACCAAAGCAGAGGCGTAAATTAATCATTTAATTTATCAATTCCTGGGCAAAACAGCCTTGTGTGGAGACAGTACTTCTCTCTGGTTTTGTGTAGGTGTTTGGCAGTGATGTCCTGGCATGATTCAGGGAACATACGCAACACTTGCTCAAAACCAAAATCTCTTTTTTTCATTATTGTCTTAGAAAGTGGGAAATGCCTTTTCTGATAACTTTTTCAATTCTGCATTCTTCAGGATGAAGCCTCCACCTCGGTAAAGCTTTGCTTTACCGACGGGTGACGCATTCACTCCAGTCTTGCGTCAAACAGGCATTTTAGAAGTTTCACTATTCTGTGTCTAATTAATTAAAAGTGGCTTCGACCTCTGCAGGCTCCTCGTCTTTCTTTTTTTCTGAGTCATTCTCCTCCTCTTTCTGTCAAACCATATAGACATCTGTGTCCAGGGGCATGTGGCAGAAGTTGCTTCAACCTAATTGTCTTTCTCTTCTCGTATTGTCCTCAAATGACTTTCTCTCTGTCTCAACTCCCCCCTCCCTCCCCCTGACTCTCTAGCTCTGCCCAGTCTCTGTCTCAGTCTGTAACTGTAGCCTGTGTTTTTCTCTCCCTCCCACTCCCTGCGACGTATAGATACTGCATTGATCAGACACACGCGCGCAGACACATGCACACACCGAGCCTCCCACTCCTTTCATCATTGATTCGCTCTGCTCTGCTCTCTTTTTCTCTCCCCCCTCCATTCTCTCTCTCTCTCTCCCTCTCCCTCTTTACAGCGGCACTTGTTGAATTCAGCCCTTGGAGAGTAGTGAGAGGGGAGAGAAGCAGTGAGAGATAATGACAAGGAGGCAGAGGCAGACTTTCAGACACTGCTAGAATGGAGAATGGGGTTTCGGAGGATATATAGATAGGAGCCAGGAAGAGAAAAAAAGTCAGTCAGACAGCTGAGAGAACCATCTATGAGACAGTGGGAATGACACTTTAAGTGAAAGAGAGAGCCGGCCAGACGGAGAACATCAGAGCTCTCCTTCCATCTGTAACTACTCCTCTTCTGTCCTGCCCCTGACTGCTGCTGGTGTGTTTGTGTGTGTCACGGCTCCATGGTGTGCTTTAACCAGAGGACTGGCTCACTCAGGTCAGAACTGTCTGGGCTTTACAGTGAGCGTTCTTTTTGTGAATTTGTGCATGTTAGCCGAGGAAAGTTATGCGCTGGTTTCTCCAGGTGAGTGCTTGTGTGCCAGGGTACACAGTCATTTCCCTATGCAGCCTCCGGTGCATGTGTGTGCGTGCAGTTCCAGCTATGCACACTTTTTATGTAAGTAAGCCAGAGTGCATGTGTGTCTGTATGGAGCGCATGAAGTGGGAGAGAGGAGAGAGAGAGAGAGGCTGTGTATGTGTGTGTTAGAGAGGCGGTGACATTTTTTTTCAGTTTGTATTCCTGGAAACTGTTCTGCAGCATTGCTCAATAATGAAACTAGCGCATATATGTATGTGTGGGGGTTGGTGGGGAAACAAAGACAATGATACAAAGGTTCAAGGGAGGAATGAAGGTGCAAATTTTCCTGGAAAATGAACTGATAGGGAGTTTAAAGAACTATCGCAGTGAAACAATGTTTTGCTCGGGGATCTTTTCCGGCAAAAACTTATAGAGAGGACAAATGCTGACACATATACGGTGTCAGCATAACGAAGAGAATCTCTGAACTCTGACATGAGAAACTGGCTTATATTAACGTTACCGAGAAAAGTTATCGTCAAGGTTGACTTACAGGCCATCCAAGTCCTTTCTGTGCGAGGGTTGTTTATGCATTAAGTGCATTATGTGGAATGAGTCCAAGGTTCTTGGAACTGAAGTCTTGTTAAACAGCATTGCCTGAAGGTATTTCACAACAATCCAAACACATACAGTAGGCATGCCATTGTGTTTGTTCTTTTTTTTTCCTTCTGTAGTGACTTTGTTCCTCCCTCTTTTCTCCTGCTTCGGTCTCTCACCCACTATCTTCACATTTCCATCTTTCTTTCACGCGCCTTTCACTTCTCCCTCAACTGTATTCTTTTTTCTCACTTCACCCAAACTTGGTTTTCAGTCTTACTTGTAGTTTCTTCCTCTCAGTTGTCACTTCTCACCTCTCTACCGTCCCTTAGCATATCTTTTCATTTTTCACACATTTTCTGTTCGCTCCTTCTTTTTTTTTGCCCCCTTTTCCGGCGCGTGGTCCTTAAGTTTTTTTTTTTTCCTGTTTGTTTTATTTTACAGATGCCTCTCTCAGTGGCAGAGACTGCAGTGAATATCTGAAAACCGATCTTCCTCTCCTTCCACGGCCAACATGTCCCAGCTGCTACATGTGGAGATACCAAACTTTGGAGCCACTGTTCTGGGCTCCCTCAATGAGCAGCGCCTGCTGGGACACTACTGTGATGTATCCATTCTAGTGAAAGGTTTGTTCAATGGAAATCAGGAGATTTAACGTGACTGCACAACTTTGAATCACCACAAGAGGCTGTTTATCGATATTCTTGACTTCTTTTTCTCAACCAGGTCAGGCTTTCAAAGCCCACCGGGCAGTTCTGGCTGCCAGCAGCCTCTACTTTCGTGACCTCTTCAGCAGCTCCACCAAGACCCAGTTTGAGCTGCCTTCCTCAGTCACACCTGCTTGCTTTGAGCAGATCCTCACTTTCTGCTATACAGGGAAGCTAACAATGGCAGCTAGTGAACAGCTGGTGGTCATGTACACAGCTGGTTACCTCCAGATTCAGCATATAGTTGAAAGAGGCATGGACCTAATGCTCAAAGCAAACTCCCCTCATTGTGACTCACAAACAGCAGGGTCCTTAGAAGAAACAGGATCTGAGCCCCAGAGTCCCTGTAATAATGGCAACGGCCTGGCAGTGGCCGCCCTTCTGGGGACTCCAGGCTGGTCCACGTCCCTCCTGATGCCCCAGCGGAAGATTAAGCTGGAGGGGAGTGATCCAACACCCCTCATTGTGCCCTCAACACAAAGTAAAATTTCATCTTCGGAGTTGGGAAGTAGGCTGGAAAGGTCACTGTTCTACACAGCAGCGGGAGGGACCCCCATCCCGGGCATGCCTCCTTTTCTACTTCAAGGGACAAATGGAGGTGGAGTAGGAGGGGGGGCCGGCGGAGGAACAGGTGGTGAAAGGTCCAGTCCTGGTGCTTCCAGCCTGCCCACCACCGACAGTCCCACGTCCTACCAAAATGAGGATGAAGAATTTGAAGAAGAGACGTATGATGGGATCACTGAGGAGGCCTACACTCACATCTATGGACGTTCAGTTAATCCCTATGGAAGTGAGTATAACTCATTCTGAACTCATAGCATTAACCTTTCAAGTCCAGGATTCTGTGGGAATCAAAATCCCAACTCTGTGTCAAAGTCATATTTGTGCTCTCATTAAATACATTACGTTCCCGATCTCCCTCAGCGCAAAAAATTGGGAACTCATTTGACATCAAGCCAGTGTAAATGTTAGATGACTTGCCAAAAAATCTAGGGTTCTTTTCCAGACATGTTATGTGTTGTTCAAAAAATGATGCACATCCGTTTCATTCAAGATACATTATTCAGTCTTTCATAAATCATGTATCCTGCACGTCTTACAAAAGCAGGATGGTGTGCCTCCAGTGAGTGTGCGGGTTCTCGTAGCTTAAAGATAGACTTATTGAGTTATGATTGGAGTGCTTCGTGACCAACAACGCAAATCTTATCACAACTGCAACAGCTGGCGTGTGCTGCTTTTCTGAAGTGGTCTTCTATCCTAAATTTCACACTGGTGTGAAGTTGGCATGTGATAGATTGATGTGTGTTTGCGTTCACATACGTAAAATAGACAGACCCGGTGCTGACTGATACACTCCACTCTTCATCCCTCTTTAGATTGGTCAGCTCGAAGGCATCCACAGGTTTGTAGAATTCTAGAGTTTCAGATATTTATGAAATCCACTCTATCTGCAAGCAGTCAGAGCGCTGCAGGGTGACATTGTTGGATATTTGAGAATCAGCCACATCCCTCCTGGATGAGTGTATTAAGGGAGATGTGTCCATACACTAGAAAAGGGTTGTCTGAGGTGTTTACATGCGTTGGAAACTGATGGATTTATTTCTCGTGTTCTCTGTTTGTGCTTATGTGTTTGCGGGCACATGCCCTCAAGTCATCCTTGAGGTTAGGGGAGAATATTTTGGGAGGAAGAACCTAACACCCCGCTATGGATATGTCCCCCCTCCAAAAGTCAAGTTGCTGATGCAGCAAACGTAGGTTATCTGGGATGCATCTGCAGTGCTCTAAAACATTTATGAAACGCAACAAACTTGTGTCATATTACCCCAAATTGCCTCAATGATTAAATTGTGAAACTTTCATTTTGACTGGGACACAGTTGGAGGTTAGAGTTGAGAGTAAAACTTTTTTCAGGCATATATTGTGATACGTTGGTGGTTGTTTGCTTTTTCTTTTATGAAATATATGTGTCTCTCTTTGCTCTATTAGTCCAAGACAAGCCAGAGATGGCAGCAGTGCCCTTGGCCTTGGAGAATCGCAACTGTGTGCTTATCCGCAGAGACCTGGTGGCGCTGCCTGCAAGCCTCATAAGCCAGATCGGCTACCGCTGCCACCCTAAGCTGTACACTGAGGGGGACCCTGGGGAGAAGCTGGAATTGGTAGCTGGTAGGCGGTCATATAAAAAAACAACATCCACTCATTTGTGGTAACCCACATTTTAACATGCAAATTCTAAAAGCAGTCTCGGAATGTATTCAGACCTGTAAACTCAAAATGATAAATGCTCATATTTAACTGTTGAATTACTCAAACCTTAACTGTTAAATAACTTATAATTAGCAAAGACAGTATTGACTGGAAACTTTGCCCAGATCAAGCTGACTGCCTTCTGCCAAGGGTTAATCTCTGGTCACTGTAATTTGAGTATACATTTTGGTTGAATTATTCTTAGACGTCAGCACTATTAAATTAAATTCTCATCTCTAATTGAATGGATTTTCACTAAAGCGTCGTCTGACGCATGTTCACACAGGCCAGGGGAAGGTCATGAAGCAGAAACGGCCAATGTGCGTGGAGTTTTTCAGATGGGCTGCGATGGTGGGTTTCACCCATTTCAATGCGTAGGCCAGTCTGGAAGGAGTATTGCAATGCTGCAGAGTTTCCCTTCAGAGATTTAAGACTGTGACAGAAGGACAGCCATCTCTGCAGTTATCATCAATCAGGCCTTTATGGAAGAGTGACTGGACAGAAGTCCATCTTGAGTAAAAAGCATATGACTGCCTGCCGGGAGTCTGCCAAATTGCCCATACAGAGCTCTGAGGTTGCGAGGGAATTTGTTCCCCCTTTTTTAATATCATGGGACAAAAACTGAACTTTTTCTAAAACATTGTTGAAGCTTTTAGCAGCCAAAAATTAAACTTTCAAAAAGAAAGGGCACCCTCATGTGCTAATGAAGCATTGCAAAAACACAGATTTGTTAACTACAAATATATCTGGACAAAGGGGGAACATAAAACAAAATTAATATTTTTCTCAAGTGTAATTTGCAGAAACATTCGAATAAACAATGGTATGTATGCAGGATGTGGATAGGGACCAAAGAACGAACAGGAGTTCAGAAGGTTTATCATGTGGTCAAATTCAATCAATTCATAATGTGATTTAATTTAAAAGAGAAGCACAATTAAAATGTGGTATTAAGTTCTTGAATGTGAATGTAGGAGTTATCAATTAATAACAATGTAATAGTGCGCTCCATCCTTGTATCAGTTTGCAATTATGGTTTAGACATCCTCCCTCCCTTAAAGGCCTGAAATGTAACGAATGGCTGGTAAGTTTAATTCTGATTCAAGTGTATTTCTCAGCAGATTCTTTTCTTTCCTTCCAACTCAGGGACCCAGGTGTTCATGACACGAGGCCAGCTGATGAACTGTCATCTGTGTGCCGGAATCAAACACAAAGTCTTACTGCGCCGTCTCTTGGCCACATTCTTTGATAGGTAAGTGTAAATGTAAGCGCAAAAGAGAAGTTCTTGTTAAAATGTTTTCATACTGTCTGTGTATGACTCCGGCACTGCTGCTGTTGTCACTAACCAACTTTCACACTCCATCTGTGGTCATGTTGTGTAATGTGGTCAGTTGTGTGTGTTCTCATGTTGATCTACCATACATGTGCCTGTTGCTGACTCTGCCCCCTGGTGTGGACTCTGTATTCCTGCAGAAACACCCTGGCCAATAGCTGCGGGACAGGTATCCGTTCTTCTACAAGTGACCCCAGCAGAAAGCCCCTGGACAGCAGGGTCCTCAACGCTGTCAAACGTAGGTTTGCGTTTGACAGAATACGTAGGATAGGAATTCACACCATTACCCTCCACTGATTGTGTTGCTTTGTTCTGTTACAGTCTACTGTCAGAATTTCAACCCTAACTTCAAAGAGAGTGAAATGAATGTGATTGCTGCTGACATGTGCACAAATGCAAGGCGTGTCCGCAAGAGATGGCTGCCCAAGATCAAGTCCATGCTTCCTGACGGCATGGAAGTGTACCGTGCAGGGATGGGCATGGGTGCTGCTGTAGGTCTGGGCCTGGCACTTGGCGCCCCTCCATCAGGAGTGCCGCTCTCCTTTGAGGCTGACTTCAAGACCTTAGAGCAAAGGCTGTACCCAGATCGCAAAGACCCTCTCAGGACTCAGCTGCCACTCGCAGAGGGCAGTCCGGGGTCTGGGGCAGCCGGAACAGAGGCTGAAGGGGAAGGTGAAGCAGTAGTTCAAGAGGAACAAGAGGAGGATGAGGATGAGGCCGGGTCGGAGGGTGTAGACAGATCACTGGGGGCACCGACTTTGATCCCAGGTGCTGAGGCGGGCCACACGCTGCCTGAGCAAAAGGTGGAGAGTTTTGAACAAGGTCTTAGAGCTAACGGACAGTGAATGTCCCTTTGTGCCGCCGCTCATATCATGAAGTCTGTTTAACACCCATTTTCTTTTGCTTGCTCTATAACTCATCTTGTCCACCACTCTTTCTTCTCCTCTGTGCTTCCTCAACAGGAAATCATCATAAAAAGCTTCACTCATAGATCTTATTACACAGGAGTTTGTCACACATGCATGCGTACGTGTGTGCTTGCACACTTTCATTCTTACCAGTAGGGAAAGCAAAACACTTCAAGAGGTAGACGCAGGCATGGCATTAGTACATTAAGTAAATCAGCCTTTTCAGTTCTGCCCCATTTCTGATTATAATAAGTATTTGCTCAGCATTTGGGCTCCTGCAGCTACAGTACAAAAGCCAACAGCTGCTTTGTGGGCAATTTATGGAGGGTGGTGTAATGCTTTGTAAAATTATTCCTGTTTCCCTTTGAAAACTGCTGTTGAGAACAGTCCAGTCAATGAAAAAGCTTTTGAGAAATATGCAGACCACCTTGCATTACATCACCATTTAATGAATATAGACAGCAACGCTCATGTGGTGTTATGGCAAAACAGCTTTCTTTCCGATTAACTTTGCATGTCACCCATACACTGGGGATTATGAAAGTTGTTTTTCTGCAAACGCTGAATTTTTTCTTCACAATCCAAAACCAAATCTATCCCATATAGTTGTTGTTTTTTTCGTGCATATCTTCCCATGACATCAAATTAGAATTTCAATGCTATGCCTGTGTCTGCTACTGACCCCATCCCTCCTCACCACACATCTACAGTGTTAGCCTTTAATATCTATGTCGACGTATTCAAACAATGCACTGTCCAAAAAAAGAAAAAAAAACATGTTGCAATGCTTTTTAACTTTGAAAAATCTTTTGAAATACGACGTTCTGTCTTGGAGATGCAGAGACATGAATAATAAGACGAACTAAGCTCTGAGCTTGCATGCATGAACACAAACAAATGGATAGGAGGAGGTATTGAAAATAACAGCAAAGCCACAATCCTGCATCAAAATAAGATAACAGCTACTGTTGCCTGGAGCTATGCCATTAAAACACGGATGGACTTTCTCCATGTCTCTCTTGAATCTGACCTCAGTCTAGCAAACGTTTGAACCGGCCTTGGTGTAACCCAGGAGTGACTGTCTTTGACACAACGTTAGATTGAATTCCTGTTCTTTAACTAAAGAATGTGCTGTCACCATAAACAAGAGAATGAATATGTTGCCGAAAGAGAAAGTAAACTACACTGCGTGGTAGAGAAAAAGATGCCAGAGAGAAGCACTGTCTTACCTTGATGTGGTGCTATATGTGCCGAGACTACACAGCCCTGCTTCCATCCTTTTTGTTCTTTTTCCTTGTGGGTGGGTGGGTAAATTATTGAATAAAACTTTTAAGAGCAATTTATGCTGGCTTACTGAATTGCACTCAAGAAGGTAAGGGTGGGAACCTGAAGCTCGACTAACTGAACCTGTAAGGACTGAGATTGCCACCGCATCACCCTGATTACATTCTTAATCAGGCAATTGTGGGCTTGGATTGAAGCAAAAGGTCTCTCGAGTTTTTGATGAGGGAGTGAGGCCATGCATCGGTTGTATTCATTTTCTTTTCTTTTTTTTATATCTGTGTCATGCTTGTTGCCACATAAAGGATGCAATCATAATTGCCTCCCTATATTGTTTCATGCATCAATTTGATAGAAAATGCACTGTTAAATGTTACCCTTCTCTTTGGTTTTGATTTTGTATTTCCTGATTGGCAATGAAAGCACATTCAATCACTCAAGTAGACCATTCATTTCAATTAATCGTTTGAAAGACATTTTTGGCCTCCGACATTTAGGATGATTTCATTTTATTTATTTATTTTTTCTACAACAGAGGTGATTGCACAAATTAAGAGCTAAGGAAAAAGAAAGCACCTGCATACAGTATGCCCCTTGATCTCTTTCTTTATGCTTCATTGATGTGCCCCTTCTTTAAGCTGAGCTTTAAGATGGCCCTGCACAAGAAACACAGGGTTTTGATTGCACTAGGTTATGATAGTGAAGTTTACAGTTTTCTTTTCCCTTGTATGAAATGTGGTGTGCCATAGATATGACAGGGCCGTGATAGAACGGTCGAAATGATGGATGAATGTAAACGTGCTGCTTTGGCAAGGGTACTGGCCTTGATTCAATTTAGTGTATTAATTAATCTTTTTTATATATATATATATATAAATATATATACATATATATATAAAAATGCATATATATACATATGTATATGTATATATATATACATATATATATGTGTGAGTGTATAATTGTAAGCTTATTAAAATGTTCCGTAGAATTAATGGAATTTGAATGGGGGGCTGGGTAACAGTGTAGCTTTAAACATGAATTACTTTTAAAGTGATGTGAACAGGTCTTCCACCGCATCAAACAGTATGTGCAAAACTGAGCAAAGTTCAAGTGGCCTGCTTGCATTGTTTTTACTGTTTAGTTTGTTTTCTCATTATCCCAACACTTACAACTGAAATTACTGGAATCAAAAGATTGAGTAAATCATCATTTTGATTCATTTAGAATAAGTTGCTCATTTTTTCACCATCGTAATCAATGATAACTTTTGATTTTGTCAAACAAAGTCACAGTCTTGTGAAAAAAAAAATTATTTACATGTTGTGTGTAATTTAACCAAGTTAAAAAAAATGCTTACAGCTTCCTTAGTCTGCCAACCACAAGCTCCAAAAAGTTGGTCTTTTGCTGTTAAGTTTATCTGTAAATATGACATATACAGCATATCTAATTACCTGAAAGAAATTTTAGGTCTCGGTAAATCAAAATACATTTCTAAACCAGGACAATTTTGTGTATCTACAAAATGTACAAGACATCAAAGTTAACAAACTAAAAATAATTCAGCAACCAGCAAAGGTTGAGAAACATTGAAATACTCCACCATACAGATTAAAGAAGTGTGGAGCAGTGCCTTAGACTGTGAATGTGTGGGTGTGGACATGTGACATAATTGTTTCTTCAGAGACAGACAAGACCAAGGATCCTATTAAATAGTCATAGATTGGACAGTGACAGTTTTATTTTCTGTTATTAATCATATCTAAAATTGTAAAAATTTCCCCAGATGAACCTCAGCGACATATTCATTTTTTTCATACTTTTAGTCATGTAATTCTCAAATGTAGACAGTCCGCTTGCTCGCCAGCTTCCTTCTTCCAGACTCATTGTTTTTCATATTGATTGCAGTCAATCCACTTGTACATGTTCTCTTCATTACACATCAGTTTCAGCCCACTTATTGACTTTTTTTGGGAAACTGCGAAACATGCCTATCGCCCAGATAGTAAAATAAAAATACAAATTACTTTAGATTTCTTAGGAATGTTTTTTTTTTTGCTTTATTGAGCAGGGTAAAAAGAATGATGTTGCACTATAAACTGGGAAACTCTCAGAGAATGTCATGGCTGGCCTTTGGGAGAACGAGCTCTTTTTGAGGTGGCTGAAACAGAAAGTAATGTTATGTATTTTACACGTCTCTTTGATGGAAACCAGTGTCTCATTTATTGGTAACTTGTTAACTGAGATGAAAGAAGAACTGAGATGGAGTTCATTCTTGCAAAGAAACTATTTTCAAACATTTTCGTTTCAAATAAATTCTTATTGGCTTTATAAAAACCCATATAGTGCTCAGTTCCACTTGTTACTGTAAAACTAATGGGCTCTGTATTTTTTTTGTTCTACTGAAAGATTAATGTTGGAAAAAGTACATTTATATGCAAAACGACTCTTGTATCATAAAATGCATGCCATTCTGATGCTCAACCCAACCCAATGAAACCTCTGATCTTTATGCACCATGTATTTTATGCTGAATAACTGTTGTCGATGTTAACAAGAAAATATCGAAGAGTTTTGCAGTCAGGGCTGTATTTTTTATTGTACACCCTCTCATTGAATGTTTGCATAAAGTATCATCTCTTGTCATAATGACGGCAAAGAAGCGATAAAGAGTGGAATACATAGAATAACTACCCCATTGAGTGTGCATTTTAACCCTCAGCGGACTCAGAAAAAAATGCACTAAAAGTTTGTATGTAAATGTGTGTCCTTGAACAAAATGCCAGCACTTTAGAACTACTATGAAACCGAAAGAAAAGAGAAACACATCAAGAGTGACCAAGGCTTAGATAAATGAGGAGCTAATGCAACTTTTAAAGCCATGTGTTCAGAGCGCTGACAATCAGAAAAGGGATGAGACCCAAAGTGCACTATGAGAGATATGACATAACTAGCTGTGCTCTTGCTATTGCTTTGTCTTTCTCAGGCTTGCTTTGGTCTGTGCTAGCTTCCTTTCCAGAGTGGAGGGGCGTTGTGATGTTAATTCCTGCCTTCTAGGTTGTAAGTGTGTGTCATTGCAGCAAGGACTGAGTCATACCTTGGTGCTTTGTGAACCGATCTGTCCCATGTTGACATGGACCATATCTCTCATGCTCTGGTCAGCATAGGTTGAACGTGGCCCTGAGTCTGGGCCAATTGGTAATCTTGTGATGGACTTCAATACAGATGGTAAAATTGGATGTTATCATGCAACCGTAAACTTGGCAATGTTCTTCACTATCAGCAATGCTTGGACCAGGCAAACTGGGATGAGTCGATTTCAATGTTGATAACGCTCTATGTTTCAAAAGAAAAATGTTAAAATGTTTATGCGCCTTCTGACTCAAGCATCAATAATATATACGACAGAAATGCAAGGTGCCACTTTTGATGTTGCATTAGAATCTACCTTTCATTCCCGTCATGGTATCTGCCGCCACCAGTTTTAAGTTGTGTTGTCCAAGAATACCTGATTTCTTTAAATGCAATACAGAAAAATCTGCTTTCTAATAAAAATCCTTACATCACCAAGACCTGAAATCTTTTGTTGTTTTTTTGCTAACTCCTCACTTTAAAACTTTTTTAACCAAAGTTAGTGTGTATTTTATATGTACAAGAGCAAACAATCAGGAAAATGGATGCCAAAAGAATTTTTAAAAATTGCCAATGGCACTACACAGTAACACATCTGGAATTGAAAAATATGCTTAAGTTAGGTCTTGAAGACATCTTATTTGAATAAGGTTATTGGTGATCTAAAAAATGGGTTTTCCAATTTAAAACATTGGGAAAATTAAGCTTTAAAAAAAGTCATAGATGGAGGAAACAAAATGATTAAACATAGAGGATAAACGTCAAATATATGTGTGTAAAGACCAATACATTGCTAAATAAACGGTGGGTGCAGAAGTAGTCGAGCTATAGGAGCCAAAATAGAAAAAAATCCTTATATCTAAGCAAAAACAATACATATAGGCTATAAATGAGAAACTGAATGTGGCTCTATTGTGCTTTAAATTCCACCCCTAATTTGCAATGGAAATGCGGTATGAGCTCAGTGTTTAGGTTCGCGGTGCTCTGGGATCTATTAGTCAGCCTAGTTTCTCTGCTCGGCAAAAATTGCGCGGCGCACGTTGAGTTACCCCAATGTAGCTTACTCAAACTTTAAGCTTCTCGGATACACACCATCAAGGAATAAACTGATACAAGACATCTTCGCCATTTACCGTCCTTCAAAATGAGCGACGATGCAGACTCCCCTCCTGAGAGGGAAATGAAGGTAAACTATCGTTATCCAGCAAGTTGTGTTGACATTAGCATGCAGAAGCTACTGTCTCAATTCACCCTCTGTGGTTGTGGCTATAATGCTAGTTAGCAACCTGGTCAAGTTCAGTAACCCCGTCGTTTTTAGTATTAACTGCTCTATGTTGTTAACATAGACTCAATTAAAAGTGCTGGGTTTTTGTGACGGATTTGAATATATACCTAATATATGTACATTTCTTATACCTTCTATGTTGTTAGCCGGCCACTTGCTAGCACGACAAGAGTTAGCATAATAATGGGAGCTCCAGAGTTGAATATTCTCTGATGTTACAACATCATTATTTGAAATAAAATAATTTGTACATGTTCTATGTCTTATTCAACATGGAAAGGATGTTGCATAACTGCATGCGAAATGTTGTGTCCAGTGTTGTCGTTTTTTGGATCACAGGTGGACAAACATGCTTGCCAGCTTCCACAAAACAACTCTGTTTGTCTTTTTTAGGACTTCCAATTTCGTCAGATGAAGAAAGTTCAAGTATTTGACTCTGTTGAAGATTTGCCAAGTGAAAGATCAAATCTCCTTACCGTATCAAACAAATATGGTTTAACATTTGTGGGGCTTGACAGAACTTTCAAAGTATACTTGACTCAAGATATTCTGGCTGCTGACAAAGCTGAATGCAGCCCCTACGAAACGGGTAAGAATCAGCACCTCCGTCCCTCCGGTTTGGCACCTCATGGTGATGACTTTAGCCCTTAAGACATCCAACTATTTGGACTTTCCTCTGTCTGATCATTTCACTGCTAACTGAACAGTACAATATACATCTGCTGATGCTTGCTGAATAGATAAAGTGAAATGAAGTTGCTACCTTAACTCTGTACTCGGACATAAACCCTCTTGTGTTCTTTAGTGAAAGGCACACCCGTGCTGGCTGAGGTGACTGTGGAGCTGAGCCTACACCACTTGGCTCTCAGTTGTGATGAACTGACTTTGTCAGTATGTGGTGTGTCTGAGGAGGCGGGTTTGTCCCTCACGTTCTATGATGTCCGCACCTTCATGAACAAGGTAACTGCTTTTAGTCTGTCGCTTTTGTTATTAGGTGTGTTTTGGACTGCCAGGGTCAGCGAAAAAAACTGGTGTGATCATGTATGGCGTCACACTAAACGCTGTTTCTTGGAACTTTAACTGCATTTAGTTGTTAGACTATTTCTATGATCAAGCTTTTAAAGCAAGCATTCTAAGACCAACTGAAAAGCTGATGAAGCAATAACATTCAGTGTGAAAATAAGTTATCTGACTTATTTTGAAGTGAAGGCAAAGAAAAAGAATTTTGTCATAGGGAAATAGTTGATGCAGCAAACTGTTCCTCTTATATTGAGCTTTTCTTTAAATCTGAAATGCTCATTAAACTGTAATACTCTTATTTTGCCAAATATGTGTTTTATACGTATGTATTCATCATTTCTTCTTCTCAGGGAAAACCCCAGAAGTTTCCATTTGCATCCCTGCTGCCGTCCGTGCCCCGGGACACTTTAGTGCAGGACCTGAAATGGAACCCTGCTCAGGCGTCCATGTTGGCTGTCTGCCTGTCTGACGGCAGCATGATGATTCTGGAAGTTACAGAGGCAGTCACAGTGCCGGCCCAGCTACCTGCTACGAGCGGCATCACTTGCAGTGAGCGCATACCCATTACGTAGTTCTTAGCTTGACTTGCTCTGAGTCATACATGTGACTAAGCCGTGCTTTGTTTTGCAGTTTGCTGGAGTCCAAAAGGAAAACAGGTGGCAGCAGGAAAAATGAATGCCACAGTTAGTCAGTACACACCAGTAAGTGCACGTCCTTCAGCATGGTGAAAAACAAAAGAGCTGGCGGTGTTTTTGAATTGTTGATTTGTGTCTTTTGTTCAAAAGGCACTTGAGGAGAAGAGAGTTATCCAATGCCCGCATTTCTACACCTCTGATGAGCCCGTCAAAGGTAAGGTGTCTATTCGTGGAGCTTCCAGCGAGAATAAATTACAAATGAATTGAGCGCTGGCTGAAATGTGTGTGTCCTTTCACAGCTCTGGACGTGCTCTGGCTGAGGACCTTTGTGTTTGCGGTGGTATATGCTGCTGCTGACGGGTCACTGGAGACCCCCCCTGAGCTGGTGTTGATTTCCCTCCCTGTGAGTATGGTTCAAACATCAGTCACGTGTGGGGTTTTGTCTGTCAGCAATGCCGCAGTCTTCAGTACTTGGGAATCAAAGTAAAGAAACAAAAGCAGCACTTGATTCTCTGCCAAGGTGTGTGTTTATAGCCCTGAAAGAAAGAATGCCATGTGGACTTAAATAGATGCTGAAATGGGAGCAATCGCATAGCCATTTGAGGGTGGTTTGAGATTTCACTATCACAGTCTTGTGTTTTTATGAACTGAACCATTTTGAGTTTGTATTTTTGTGCAGAAAAAAGATGAGAAAATGGAGACAAAGTATCTGAACTTTGGTGACAGTGTCTACGGGAGCTGCACAGAGCGACAGCATCACTACTTCTTAAGTCACATCGAGGACTGGTGAGAACAAACTTACAGCTTTGAAAAAAAAGCGTGTCCTTTCTCCTCTCAGAAGGGTGCAGTTTCTTTAAATTAAACGTCGTGTTAAGTCAGTGGAACACTTTGCCTTGGCTCATTGATTGTTTCATCCAGGGACCTTGTGTTTGCGGCATCAGCAGCTTCCATTGAGGTCAGCGTCATTGCCAGACAAGACGACAAGGTATTTAATTTGGACAAAAGTCTTAGATTTATTGTGTGTATATAGTTTTCAGTCGAGACAGTAATGGAATGCATCTGGTGTATTTTATTTGCAATGCTTCTTCACAAAGTTTGTCAAAGTGAGTTGCATAAGGGTTCTTACTCAGTCATTGCAGTAAACTTGCCCAAATCTCAACACTGAACAGTATCTCTTGATGGCATTTGCTCATCTCGTGCACAAACCATTATTATTTTAGCTCTTCATAGTGTTGTTTTAGTAACAAAAAAAAAAATCAAGTTCAATCTAAGCTTAAATGAAAATGACATTTTAGTGTGACAATCATGCTCTGATTTATTTTCAAGTTGTTTTATGTGTGTGTGCACTTAAGAATTTAATTAAAATGAATAATAACCCAGAAAATGGATTGATGAATGTATAATTACCACAATAAGCTAAGAAAAATAACTGTTATAACCACGTTGTAACTTTTTAGATGTGGGAACTTTGGCTCTTAGAAGATGCCAGCAGGGCTGAGCTTCCAGTGACAGAGACAAATGAAGACACTCTTCCCCTCGGCTTAGCCATAGACTACACCAGCCAGCAGGAGATCCACATCAGTAAGTGTGTTTGGCTTTAATACCTTCCTCGTTATACACGCCCAAGTATATGCCGATCACCCTTCTGGAGTCAGATGACTGCGGGTGTGTGCATTACTGGCCTGTGAGGAAAACGTGAAGAATATTTGACTGTTCTTTTTCCCGTCACTCTTCTGTTTTGTTTTGTTTTTTTGGGGGGGATTAACACTGTTCTCGTGGAGAAACTTAGTTAAAATGGTTTTCAGTTCATGACTTATGTTTTTTCCCTCTGTTCTAACAATTATTTTTTCAATTGGATTTCAGATTAATTTCTCATACACATCCTCTCCTGCATAAACGGGAGCACTAGACATTCAGACAGCACCAATTTCATTATTATCTTTTGCTAGGATCGGCATCTTGTCCCTTCTTATCCAGAAGTAGATGGAAATGTAAAGATTTATTCTGTATGTGCAGTCTACATCAAACAGTTATTTGACTTGCAACACAGGGCTCCTGTAGCTGCTGTGCCATCACTTAAAAGGCACTCCTTTATTCAGTGATGGTGCTGCCGTGGTGTGCAGCACGTCATCCAGACCTTATTCAGCCATTCATCTACCACCAGGCAAAGGTTCACCTTATTTTCCATCTTGTATCAAATTCAGTTTCGTTTTAATTTACACTTTATTTATTTTTCCCATTGTTTCAGCTTGTAAGTGTTTGGTCTTGATCTAATGAACTGCCGATACGTCAGGTTTCTGTGTGCATACAGCTTCTACTGCAGTGCTGTATTGCAGCATGTGTAAAGAATAGTGATAAGCCTCCAGCTCAATGCACTGTTTTATGGTAACGGGCCCAGTCTGCCAGACTTTCACGTAGGGCTGCTGTTGCTGTCTAGTCACATCTCCTCTCATTCATTCCAAGAACTCCCTGCTCGTCAGAGAGAGAAAAAAAACTCCCCTGCAATTTGGACAGCATGTCGACATAATTGTAGTCTGATCAAATCTTTGATCCAGAGTGAATCATTAGGTAGGCAAAGCTAAAGGAGGGGTTCTGACAAAGCTGTCTGTGGATGAGGGGAAAAAAGGAAAACACTCATTAAAATGGCTCATACAACCTAGACCACCACAACAAACACCAAAGCCCAGACAATCCTGTTGCAGAATGCTGATGAGATTTACTGTGTGTTTCTTCTGTCTGCTTTTCCTCGTTGCCAAGGTGTATTTTCTTGTCTACCAAATGTCTTTTTGTACTTTACGCCCATCAGAGGCAAACTTAGTTGCTAGATTTTTTTCCTCTTTTTTTGTCCTCTCTTTACCTGAGTGTCTAGTTGCATATGTGTTTTCTGAAGGTTAATGTGTGAATGCTATGATACACACACAATAACATACTATTGAAAGCATTCATGCTGCATCTGGAAGGAATAGAGACGTAGAATATAAGATGGCAGCGAGAGGCAGCAGCGATTGGTGTCGTTCCCTGACTGTTGCTTGGTGCTGATCAGTCAAAAGCTGCTTTAGGCTTCATTTGGTTTGCAGCCCATATCTCATTGCTAGATTTTGTAAATTGCTGCAGAGCGGGTGTGAGGAGCAGAAAAGGTTTGAGGGTTTGGCAAGAAGAAGGATGGCTGTGGGTTGTGTTTTACCAAATTAGCCGTCTTAAAATTGTTCTTCAACCTTGAATACAGAGTGCCTTTTAAACTGAACACTGAGAGTTATGAATTGGATGGAAACATTTCTAACATGCCCACTGTGCACAAGAGTTCTCAGCATTTTAATGCTCTAAGAGGCAAACAGCACTTTGTCCTCATGAATAGAGTATATACTGTGTGCAGAGAACCCTTGCTCTGATTTTTCTCATGTAGCGTTATTAGTTGAAAGCCTAGCGCTGAGCAGAACGCCAAATCATTTCTCTCAAGAGTCTGTAACTGTCTGTTGTAGATTGGATCATAATTAATAGCCTCTTTTGTAGAACGTCTTGCCAGAGAGCTTTAAAAGATTCTCCTTGACTTTGGTCTTTGAAGTTCTGCAAAATATGCAAAGGGAAAAATAAGAAATTTAATTTCTATTTTTATTTTTAGGACCAGTTTCATTTAGGAATTGGTTTGGTATCCTTTGTGAATTTGGAGCCACTAGTTATAAGTACACATTGTCCAGAATATGAATACATGGCTAACTAATTTGTACCTGCTCATCCCACCTTCACACAGCTGATGAGAAAACCCTGCCTCCAGCGCCCACGATGCTAATGCTGTCCACAGAGGGATTACTCTGCCCGTTTGCTCTACTCAACCTAAATCCTGGGGTTAAGCAGCTCGTGTCACCCGCTGCTACCCTGGCCGTGGAAGGAGAAAGACAGCCCAAAGCAGGTAAAAACTGCCAGTAAGGCAGAAAAGATGCCTGGTGAGAGAGCAGTGTTGTTAAAGACTGTGAAGTACATTGACACATATTTCATGTATTATTATTCTAAATACTAACTTCTCATTAGGCATTATTCTGACTCTTAGAAGCGTGACCAGGAAGTGGCTGCACACGAAGGTGGCAGCTTCTATTTGTTTGTGTTGAAATCTATCAAAAGTGTTTTTCTTCTCTGTTCCCAGGTTCTTTTACAACCCAACCAGCCAAAACTGCAGCCCCGGCTCCATCAGTCCCAGTCCCAGCAGCATTCCCAAGCATAGGTTTTACTCCAGCAGCTGCTCCCACTCCGCCAGCCCCGGCCGCTGCTCCCTCCGCAGCCCCTTTTAGCATCGTTCCTGCTGCTCCCGCGTCGGCATCCCCCTCGAGCTTCTCTTTTGCAATCCCAACTACCAGTTCAAGCACCTCAGCACCCTCAGCTTTCTCCCTTGGAGGCTCTACGCCTTTTGGATCTGCCTCCTCAAGCTTTTCCTTTGCCTCCAAACCTCCATCTGACGCCCCTTCTGCACCTTCAGCGTTTTCTTTTAGCACTCCTTCCAGCAAACCCCCAGCTGTTGCAGCCCCAGCTCCAGTTCCCACACCTCAGAGCGTTGCCACTGCATCGCCACCCACAGTCAAACTGAATCTGACTGAGAGGTACTGAACTGCCATGTGGGATATTCTTAGAGAGATTCTGAGGTGTTAAAACAAATTACTTCGAATAATTTTTGCTGCTTCTTCAGGTTTTCTGCTGTGGAGACTCCAGCTCCGGCTTTCTCCTTTAATTCCTCCCTGCCAAAGTATCCTGGTTCCAGTTCTAGTGGTTTGACTGCCCCCTCCCTCTCAACCAATAAGCCAGCAGCTACTTTAGGTAATAATGCATGTTTTTGTGTTTTTTAATCATGTGAATATTGAAGGCTTTATAACATTTTTTTTTACCATGGGTGGCTCCTTTGATAATGTTTGCTATGTTTCAGTCCCAGCGCGCCCGGTCCAGACCAGCACACCTGCCGCGGTGGTACCGAAGCCGACTCCTGCTGGCCAAGCCCGCTTACAAACTCCACAGGTATCTGTTTGTTGTGAGGAACCACTTGCATATCAGTTTTCGCAATTCAATCTTTCGCAGGTTTTCGTAAATTTTCCAGATCTAGTCTGTGATTGTACCTAACTGTTCTGTAAGCTTTTAGTCAGTCCTCACGGAACAAATTGATAATTAAATTTTTTCCAAACAATACGTGTCATTCTGCTGGAAAAAAGCTTTTAATTGACATCACGATTGCCATGCCTCCCGGCAGCGTGTGAATTTTGGGCCATGCTTGTGTAGCATTCTGCGTCTTTAAGCTTGGAAAGCTGCCTTGTCTCTTCTTGGCTGTATGTTCTGGACTATTTCCTCCTCTTTACTTAAATTAGAAAAGAAATCTCTGAAGGTCTCCTGAAAGCTTGTATTTGCATTGGCACCCATTGATTAGCTATTTTGATTGTTTACCAGCTTGCGACATCTCATTATAGTGAAGCTCTCTGGCTGTGATTGTACTGTATTAGCAATCTACCCTGCTGCCTGCCATGCGACCCCATCTTTCTTTCACTTATACCAAAAGAGAGTATGCTATTATTATTTAACTTTCAGTGTTCATCACCAAGTCCTTCAATCATCTTAGACAGACTTGAACTGCAGCTTACATTATATACTTTATACACTCTGAGAATGCCAGTTGAGTTTCCATTAATTGTTAATAAATAGATGATTGTAAGGGAAAGGGCCCACATTACTTTAACAGGGCTTCTTTAACCTGTTAGTTACAACAAAGTGTGACATTCCTTGCAATACGCATGAGTATCAAAATGGCATCTTTTGGGTTAAAGCTCCTCTTTCTTATCAAATGAAAGCCAGTTGAAAAACATGGCCTTGGGTAATATTGGACCTTTCATCAGATAAACCGCTTCAGTTGTTATCACAACGTAACTTCCACCACAACATGCAGAGAGTGCAAGAATGGTTCTAAAGCAGTAAAAATGTAACAATTGGCTATTTATATAAAATATTTATATATGTATCATCTCTTAAAGCAGGCGGCAGTTAGCATGAAGGTGCTGGAGAAACAGCTACAGCAAAAGAAAGAGTCTGATCCCATTATGGCCGGCATTTTGGAAGAGGTGAGAAATAATAATTCATGACTGGAATCATGCAGTGGTTTCCTTTTTTGTATTTTGTTCACTTAGTGAAAAAGAACTTCACTGTTAAATTAAAATAAGTTAATGTTTTGTCCTATGTGGTGAGTCATTTCAACATTTCTAGGATATTGTGCAAAGTTTTATAGATGCTATGTATCCTGCTGCATTCACATTAAGAAAACTTGATGCATTTTCTTCTCCTTTTTTGTGTAAAATAAATTCCTTCACCTTTTGTAACCTGCCTTTAGCTTTCTACATCATGCAGAATGTGTGATTACACGGGACATTAATGTTTTTTATCTATTAATGTCTATTTTCTATGGTTACATATAAAGGGTTGTGAATCCAAATTTCAGTGGGAAAAAAATAAGCAATTCAATATATTACTGAATAATAGGCTCACACATCATGTTAAAATGTTTCTCATGGTTTGCCATCAGATCGCACACTTCCAGAAGGAGCTGGATGACCTGAAGTCGAGGAATGCAAAAGCTGACTTTAAAATTGGCAGTAATGAAGAGATGCGGGAGTTGAGAAAAGAGTCAGAGGACCTACATCTCTTCACCCTGGAGATTAAAGAAACCACAGAGGTAAGACCATGTTTTTTTGTGTATCTTCTTTTAACTAAATATTCAGGCCATGTTTATGTTAACCTAAGAACTTTCTTAAGTGATAAGTACCAACCTCAACAGCTGCCTCTGCTGCAGAATCCATTTTTCTAAAATCGTTGTTACCGTACATTTGTATGATTGTTGCTTTGCTTATTGTGACATGTGGAGCCAGTGTTCAAATTTACAATGACGTGGCTGGCAAATAGGTTATGATCTCTCCTTAAATGTTTTTTTTTTTTTGTCGTTTATTTTCCCCACCTTTGTATCTGATTTGAAGTCGCTTCATGGTGACATTGGCACACTGAAGACTTCCTTATTGGAGGGCTTTGCTGGAACAGAAGAAGCCAAGATCCAGGGTGAGCTGAGCAAAGACAAAAACTACAGACAGTTGTTGTACAAGAGACCTTTGGATCCACGCAGCGAGGAACAGCTCAAGGTTAGAAAGAATATCCTAACTGGATTTTAAAGTATTATTACTCAAAATAAATCGTTTGATTGAGGCACTTGCACGTCCCGAGTATCTTCTGGAATTTTTGTCTTTTCTCAGGAGATTCGCAGGCTTTACCAGTATGTCACATTTGCTGTGGAGGATGTTAATGATGTCTTGGATGTGGAATGGGAGAAACATCTGGAGGACAAGAAAAAGAAGCAGAAGTGAGTGGCTGAAATTACAAATAATCCTGCCAGCGATTCAACCGGGTTTTCGGGTGAACAATCTGTGTTACAGTTAATTCATTATTCTGGTTCACTATTGTATATCGTTTTCACAGACACATGGTAGTTCCCGGACGGGAGGGCCTGTTCAATACGCTTTCCAACAACCTGTACATCATTAACCAGCAGAAGAACAGGTTGGATCAGCTGGTTCAGGAGCTCTCATCACTGCGACTCTACAGCAAAACAACCCCTCCAACTATAAAACCAACTCCTGCTACAGCAACCACAGCTAGGTAGGCCCTGGCAAGGAGAAGGCTGAAAAGTCTCAGAGATAAATTAGTTCTAAAAAGAACAATTTTAGATAAGAAGATAGACAAAGATAAAGACAGTGGTGTATGCATCTCTCAGATCAGATAAATGTTTTGTGCCTCTGCTCTTCATTAGTTTAGAAAGTGAGCTGGAGAGTGTAAAAGATGCGCTCATGAAAGCCAGGCTGGATACCACCCCTCCACAGACAAAGGCCAAATCTCCAGGTTTTTAAAAAATAATTTCTTCATGATGTGTGATGATAAAAGATGCAATTTGTGTTCATTTCGACGTTCTAACACTGTATTTTTCCACAGCAGTCAAAATCTCGCCAGCTAAACAGTCTCAGCTGCGCAACTTCCTCTCTAAGGGACAGATGCCCCCTGTGCGCTCTACTGCACCAGGTGATCCAAATTTATGGTTGCATCATCACAATTTCCACTGCGCCCCAGCTTTGCTCTGTAAACTCAAAGAATACTGAAGGATCTTACTATAGACAGACTTCACAAGACTTGACTGTGTACTAAAATAAAGAATTGATATATGAAACCTGGGGAAGTTGTCTAAAAGATACAAAAGAGAGTACGTCCCAGGAAGATGTTCATTTAGATGTATTTGTTTTCTTTTCTTTCAGCCAACCTGTCTCGTTCAGCCTTCCTTTCGCCTAAATACTATGAGGACCTTGATGATGTGAGCTCAACATCTTCCCAGTCCCTGGAACTTAACCCGCCTCCCTTGGAACTGGAAGAAGAGGAACTGCAGCCCTTACGGCCCCCACCAATGATGGGAGTGGCTCCAGCGTTGCCCACTCCCCGACACCCCACAGTAGTGAGAACACCCTCTATCCAGCCGGGCTTTGGAGCCATCCAGTCCACCCCACTTCCAAAGATTCACTCAGTGCCCGGTCTGGGCTTTGGACTCAGCCCAATCGCCAGCCCTGGTAAGGCAAACAAAGTGGTCGCAAAGTCATTTGGTCACAGAAAAAGTGCAGGTTCGACACTTGAAAAAACGTTTTTCTTTCATCAATGTTGTATTTTTTAGTTCCAACCAATAAGATCAACCTCAGCAGTGCTGATAGCACTGCTCTTGCCACAAAGACAGTTAAGCATGGAGCCCCTCCGTCCGAGAGAACCATACCTGTCACCGTCTCTGCCCAGCAAGCTGCAGCCACTGCTGCTCTGCGCAGACAGATGGCCAATCAGAAGCCAGGTAAGACTAAACGTGCAGCAAAGTGCAGACTTTTTTTTTTTTGGGTGATTAGCTCCTGAACCAGCTGATCCACAGCAACATAGTAATGTGCGTGCTCATTTCATCTGTACTGTGCAGATTGTTCTGTGTTGTATGGCCATGCCCTTTATTAGTCACCAGAGGGAGACATAGTCTTTGAAACTAAATAATCTGAAGCTGGTTAGAGACTAAGTAGCACAGTGTAGCTCTACCCAGGCTAAAAATCACCATAGAAACAGTAAATTTTCATCATTACTTGCTTCTTATGTCTTATTTTTTTATATTTATATATTATTTATTTATATATATATATATATCTTTGACATTTCTTCAAATATTTATAGATATATTTATTTGTCTTCCAGGTGTGGTCAGTACCTCCTTAACAGAGTCCACCTTGAAAACTGTCACCCAGGTGGTCAATGTTCAGGATATCAGGGACAAAGGGCCAGGTTCCTCTATCATCAGGTAAACCTTAAGAAAAAAAATAAATAAAGATGACCAATTGCCTTCCAGAGTTATGTTTCCATATTGAAGTTGTTTGGTTTAGAAAAATATCACATTTTGAATACATTAAATTGCATATTGCCGTTAACAGTGATATTTAAAAAAAAACATTTAACAAACATTTTAAAAAATGTACTTAAAAAGGTATTTTTAAGGACTGATTTATGAAAAGCAAAACAATGACGTGTTTCTATGGACATCATGGCGTGTTTACATAGACATTAAGGTGTTAACAAGTTAGAACAGAGTTGTGTAACTCCGGCCCTCAGGGCCTTCTGCCCTCCAGAGTTTTGGTGCTTCCCTGCACCACAAACCTCTGAACAGTTTGCCACCAAGTTCTGCAAAGGCCCAGTAACTCTCTTTTACTTTAGCCAGCTGTGTTAAAGCAGGGAAACATCGAAAGTCACTGAGTTAGAAATTGGAGTGTGATTAGCATAATTCCCAAGAGATCTGGATTAGACAAATAATTGCTTTTTTCTACTTTTAAGTACCTTTTTCACACAGAAAAGATGCATTTACTGTTTAACACTAATCATAGTGTTGGGCTCTGGTGTCACATCCTCTCATGAATTTCTGAAAAGTGAGTAAGCAGTCTGCCTCGATAACTCCTCGAGGGGGTCAAGCGTTTGTTTTGTTCATGTCACTTCAGTACTTATTTATCAAGTCTCTGATTCCAGCTAATATTAGCGTGTGCATACGACTGTCCGGGGGCCACTGTCTTTTATCGTACTGCTTTTCTTTCCTTAAGCATTGCATCTCTGCCATGGTCTCATTATAAGCTGTTTGTTTTCATGTTTTTTAGCCTAAAATATTTCAGAGGTAAATATTCAATTGGATTAAGTGGAATTCCATGTAAATAAGTATGCTTCCTTCACCCAGCCACTCAGGTTTTAGACATCCACCCCACTATTTTAGGCACGCTGATCGGGATGTTCATCAGGATTTCGTGGGCTCTGCCTTTGCCCATATTGTTGTAGAGTTAATGGTATTTGATCAAAATAGTCAGTGTTGATTCGGCTTGTTTTATATTTTATTATTATCTATATTTTTTAAGTGAGTAGCTGAGGACTCTTATTCACTCTTTCCTCTGTCCAAAATGTACAATAAATTCATGTTTTCTCACGTGAAAAATTATATCTGGAGGTGGCTGTTCGAGAGATCAGTTTTCTGCTGTCCTTGCAGGACATGATCCTTCGATGTATTTTTGAACATGGACTCCAAATTTCACATTATTCGGCTTTTTAAAGGATCTGTGTGAACATTCTGCTCTCCCTATCTGTTGACTTTCCCCAGCTCCTCAGTGCCAGATCCTGCAGGCCAGGCTTTTGCAGCAGTTTCAAGCAACCAAGTTAAACGAGTGAGTATGAGCGACCCCTCCCTCCCAAAGATGTCAGTCACCTCTTCAAATGTTGATGTGCTGTTGTCAGCCTAGTTTATCCTGACAGACGACATGTTCTCTCACTTTCTGAAGTTTGAAATTTTAAGAATCAATGAATGTGCCTGATTTTTTTTTATACTAGGTTTGATAAGGTATTCACTCTTTTAGTATTTGGAGAACTTCCACAAACATTTCAACTTATATTCATCAGTTTGCGTTCTATTGCCTAAGAACTAAAAATCAACTTGTGAGAACCGTCAATATGTGTGAATCCGCAGATTGCTGACTGTTTGGCCTCTGAAGACAGAGCAGTAACTGCTCTGGTGAGAAATGTCTCAGGTTCATTCCATGTAGGTGCTACAAATTGCAGTTGGCTGAGAGGGCAACTGCTCACACAAATCTTGTTCTTGTGCCGGTCCATGTTCACTTTAAAGGAATCAACCCACGTGTACTGATCACCAAAAGCACCTGTACACATACACTATTTCTTTTTCTCTACATTCGAGCTTAATCTGTGTAACCTGTAGCCTGTAGCAGTCTCTTTTAAAGGCAGATGCCTGCTTTATTGTATTGATAACTTGCCTTTTTCTGTATTTAAACCCTTCTCTGCAGACTACTACCCCAAAGATGACCACTGAAAGTACGTCCATCCCACAGACAGGTTTTGTGTTTGGTAAGCATTCATGAATTCCCTCTTTGTGGATATATACTGTTCAATTAAAGACATTTTTTAGCTCTTCTACAAACTTAACACAAATAACAATGGCTGCCTACACACCTTTGACTGACATGTTAGCGCTTTTTCTATTTCCACAATCTAGTTACACAGTAGCCGAATTGCAGTCCATGCTGCATGAGACTTTTATGCCATGACAAATCTTTAATGAACTCCCAAATTTTTCATCTGCAGGGCAGACAGCCAAACCTGATGTGTCTGTGGTTCCTGCTAGCTCAGTGGAGCAAAACCCCAGCAAGGCCTTCTCCTTCAGTTCAGGGTGAGTTTACATGAATAAATGTGGAGTTATTCTCAGATCAGGAAGTAATACTAACACAGATACAATAGTAAGTTAAGGATTTGTATCTGTCATAAAGACATGATACAATAAATAACGCATTTTAGTTTTTGAGATGTCCAAGTGTCAAATCATGCCCATTCAAATTGGATTTTTTTTGTGCTGACTTATTTATTTTGATATTATCACATTCTTAAATTGAAATGTTGCATCTTTGTGCGCGAAAGCTGTTTCATAAGTTCGTGCCTTATTCCCCCTGCTGCTAATTTAACCATGCAGGTGAGGCAGGGCTGAATGGACATGCAATGTGCCTCTGCATACTGTGCTGTCTATTAGCAGTTTAAGATGTTTTAAGGATCACCCCCTCTAGATACATTATATTCCTCTCAGAAATATGTCCCATTATAGATGTTGGAGATTGTCTCTTTTCTCTCACATTGTAACTTTAATGCTTGCTTTTCAGAGCGGTGGGGTTCAGTTTTTCCTCAGTCACAGCGGGAGCTGGAATGTCCCAAGGTAAAACACACTGCAAAGGTTTGTTATCAAGACGATGCTTGGCTACTTAATTTAATTTGTTCTCCCATGTCTCCAGTTAAGGATAAATTCTCCTTTGGCGGAAATGGCAAAGCATTGTTTGGTCAGGCTGGAGAGGAGCCATTCTCCCTGACCCCCAAGTCTACCTCCCCTGCTCTTGGCAGTGGGTCTCCCTCTTTGGTTCCTAATGCGTCAGGCGAAGCAGCCAAGCCCACCTCCTCTACAAACGCTTTCAGGACAGAGCCACAGCCTCCAAAGACGGCAGGAGGAGAAACACTGGGCAGTTTCTCTGGACTGCGTGTGGGCCAAGGAGAAGAAGCTAAGGATTCATCCACCAAGCCTGCACCTGCGTTTACCTTTGGGGACGGAGGAGTCGGCATGGCCAAAGGACCACCGCAGTTTAGCTTCGGGGCGGGCCTTCAAAAGCCCGCTGAAGATTCCGCGGCAGCAGATTTGTCGACGGGGCCAGCATCCGGCAGTTTGTTCAAGCCTCCAGAACCGAGCACCAAACCAGCTTTCTCTGTCCCCCCATCCGGCTCAGCCGCCGCAGCTCTGCCCGCATCTTTCAGTAGTCTTCTGTCGGCCGCTTCCGAGGCAGCAGAGGAACAAAAGGCTCCCCTACAACCTTCAGAACCCACAACGACAGCAGACAAAGAGCCACCCGTCACTGAATCTGCCGCACAGAGCAGCGGTCAGCCCGTAGCCGCCGCCCCTGCAGTGGACGCAGCCGTCGCGGAGGCTGCAGCCACCGCAGCACCCCCGGCAGCACCAACACCTGCAGCACCAACACCTGCACCTCCTTTGGCCACAACTCCCCCCACCCCGACCCCTGACCCTCCTACCAGCGCCTGTGCACAGGCCGAAGCGGCTCCCCCAGGACAGGCCAGCGCTCCCCCCGCAGTGGAGGGCCCCTCAGAGCCGTCCACCCCCGCTGCCCCAGTGTCCTCCTCAGCTTCTGCCACTGCCGCGCCCGTGTCCCAGGCCCCCCCGGCAGTATTCCAGGTGCCCCCTTCTGAAAATCCGGGCTCCATTTTTACTGCTCCCGCAGTAACGGACAGCAGCTCAGTTGGAGCCTCCCCGGCTATCAACACTGCTGCCCCCGCCGCCACCACCACCACTGACGCAGTTTCCAGTAGTGCACCAATTACTGCCGCCAGCGCAGTGTTCGGGCAACCTGCTGCCCCCCCAGCCTCCTCTGTCCCCCCAGCATCCTCTGCCCCCCCTGCTTCCTCTGCCCCACTTGGCTCCTCTGCTGCCCCTGCTTCCTCTCCCCCACTTGACTCCTCGGCCGCCCCCGCTTCCCCTGCCCCCCCGGCCTCCTCTGCCCCAGCGTCCACAGGATTTGGCTCATCAGGGTTTGGAACATCCGCTGGAACCGGTTTTGGAAAATCTGTTTTTGGTCAGATGAGTGGCTTCGGCCAGCCTGCCAGCAACAGTGGAACATCTGGTGGCTTTTTGTTTGCCCAATCCACATTTGGGGCAAATTCGAGTAGTGCAACAACTGGAGGGGGAGGTCTTTTTGGTTCTTCTACTGCGAGCAGCGCAAATTCCTTCTCTTTTGGCACTAGCAGTGCCAACACAGCCAGCAGCACAGGCTCGGGGCTGTTTGGACAAAATACTACCCCAGCGTTTGGGCAGAGCTCTGGATTTGGACAAGCACCCGTGTTTGGAAGTAACACAACCACATCCTCGTCTTCAGGATTTAGCTTTGGACAGCCATCAGGTGAGTGAGAGCTAGAACCCAATGAGTTCAATGGTTACCTTGATAATTTCCTTAGTTTTTGGTTTCTTCTTTTTTCTCTATTCTGTCCTTAACCCAAATCTGATGTAATTCCAAAATTTCTTTGTGGGAATGATTGAGAAAAGGATATTGTTCTCTTCTTGTGTCAAATTGGCGTGCTACTCAAAACTAGTTGTGTGGTACACAACTTTAGGCAGTCACATCTGCCATTGTTGAAGCAAACAGGACCTGGCAACCGTACGTCTGGCTTTGTTGTGTCTGTAAGGGCAGTGAAGAAGGATGTGTGAAAGATCCAGCTCAATCTGGCTGGCCTGTGCACAGTTTCCAAAGACATAATCTTTCAACTGACAGTACAGCTGTTTTTATTTATAGTGCACTGCTACTAAGAGCTGTCACATTCCCAAACATTCTCTGAATTCCCAAAGCAGTCTGGTAATGTGTGGACAGCTGATGTCGCTGTGTGAACTCAGTAGTCTGACACTACTTATCCAGACACAACGGGGGGTCCAAAATTCCAGCGTCACCTCATTTTAGTGTGTGAGAAAAGTAGGAAGCTGTGTTCTCTCATCCTTGCTATTTTTGCCTTCCATCGCAGGTTTTGGCTGCTCTGCTGCCACGCCTGTCTTTGGCCAACAGTCTGCCTCCGGGAGCGTGTTTGGACAGGTATCAGCCACCATTTTGACTAACGGATCAGCCTATAATTGATTTTCTTGCCATTAGAAGAGAAACTCTTCATCTGTGTGATTAACGTTTCTATAGCAGCAGCAGCCGTCAAGTGGTGGGGGTCTGTTTGGTTCAAGTTCAGCCAGCACAGCAGGCCCGTCCTCTGGAGGATTCTTCAGTGGCCTGGGAGGCAAACCAAGCGAAGATGCAGCCAACAAGAACCCATTTGGCGCAGCTGTTGCTACTGGAGGGTTTGGGCAGGCCTCTCAGACCGGTATGCTCATAGAACAGTCTCAGTCTGTTTTTAATGCTAGAAAAGAAAAACAAACACATTGTACCTGCAATGACGGCGATAGACGTTCCTTGTTTCCCTCCTTTTGACATTCCGTTCTTCTGCCTTGTCAGGACCCGGCAACCTCTTTGGGAATAGTGGGGCCAAGGCCTTCAGCTTTGGTCCGTCTTCCTTTGGGGAGCAAAAAACCAGTGGGACCTTCAGCACCGGAGGCGGGAGCGTAGCCTCCCAAGGCTTTGGCTCCTTCTCTTCACCAGCAAAAACTGGTAGATTGCACTTTCTTTAATATTCTCTTTACTTGTGCACATAAAACACTGAGAGTAAATGCAACGAAATGCACAAGGACTTCTGAATCTCCGACAATCCTTTTCATACACTGTCCCTACCTCTTTAGGGAACTTGTTTAGTTAATTGGAACAGAGGAAGTGATAAGGCATATAAAGGGTAGTGCTGTTATGTAATTAAAGGATATTTTAATTAAATCCATACACTCACTCATCAGCTATGGTTTCTATGCTAATGTGCGATAGACTAATTTAGTTTGACTTTGATGAGTTTTGGGGCCTAACAGTGCCTCCGTCCCGAGTGAAGGTGTTTAGTTATATATGAGATTTAGTTTCTACGGTAACAGCTCTGCACAGCGTTACATAAAATCTATTTTACACAGCAGCACGCTGGGTGCTCACCTGTTATTTCCTCACCTTAAAATGACAGAAGCTGCGGTTACCTGCCAGAACACAAAAACATCCCCAACACACACAGTAACATCCAGCTCTAGTTTATCATTGAAGGAAGCTGGGTAAAATGAGTCCTACTCCAGTCATGTGATTATCCACAGTTCCCGCCCCTTTTCAAGTAGCCTCTAGACACCACCCTGTCAGTGTTGAGTTTGAAGGTTAAAGAAGTTAAAAGGTTTTCTTTTTTTTCCAACTCAATTGGGTAATTGCGACCTTTGAGACAACTGATCGTAGTTAAATGATTGTCTTCGTTGCCTTCATTTGCTTGTTTGAGTGCAGCTGAATAAAGTAAAAACCGAAATGTCATTGATCATCAGATCAGAAAAGAATCAACAGGCGGAAGAATAGAAACAGCTGCGTTCCCATTCCTGCTTTTGGATGAGATTTTTTTTTTTTTTGCCCTCAAAAGCTGTCTGATATTTTTTTACACATGTTCATGTCCTTAATTTTTTCTCCGTCTATAGCTATTTAGTGTATTATTCACAGATGATGTTGAGAGATCAGAGCTGGATGCCACATAAGTGGTGACTTTTGCAAATCCTTTTGATTGTGGTCTCGCAGAAGACTTCAGAATTGGACAGACTGATTACGTTGCAGTGTTTATTTGCTTCAGTCAGGCTATCAAAGCGCAGCAGCAGCTGTTCGTGTTGCAGTTCAGCATTTTTCTCACGTAGAATTTGCAAATGGAAGGCTTTTTTTTTTAATCACATGATTTAAGTTACCACGTGTACTTCAGCTTTTCCCTAATTCAAAAAATGGATGGGGGGGAAACTTGAATGAATGACAAGCATATTGACATATTTCTCAAACGTACCGCATGTGTGGAATTTTAAAATCAGCTCCTTCAAGTTTTTTTTTTTTTTTTTTCCTTTCCTTGTTATTTGTGGTTGATTACACCCCAAGCTTTCGCTCAGCTCCACTGGGATATATTGGTACCACTCAGCAGACCGATGCCCTATCATAGGCTTTTGTAAGGGGAATGTAATCTTGTTACATTAGCCCAATCAATTATTTACTGGGGCATGTTGCTGGTCAGGCTGTAATTTCAGCGCGCTCTTTCTCTCCTGCCACTCAGAGGCTTGGAACTGGTGTGAAGTATTCATCCCGTCTGTAAGCTGTCACTGTGCTGCTCCAAAGTTTAGTCCTTTACACTGCAGGACGCAGCACACTGAGCCTTAATGGGGAATAGATACAGCAAGAATACCGCACTGGAAATGTGGTTGAGATGTGGCTTAAAAAGCTGTTTTTAAAGATATCTTTATCTGTTAATTTTGCACTTTTGTGCCAGTTCAGACTACCAATGAATGTGGGAAAAAATAAATGAGACAGTGAGACACAATTTGCTGTCCATTATTTAAGTAAGTTGAAGTGACAGGACTTTTTTGTTGTGTTTCAGGGTAACTCCCTTTTTGTCTCATAACCTTCATTTTCTTCCCCTCGGCAGGTGGTTTTGGCAGTGCCCCTGTTTTTGGAAGTCCCCCTTCTTTTGGTGGTTCCCCAGCTTTTGGCACTGCCGCCTCATTTGGTTCCAACCCTTCTTTCAGCAACCCCATGACTTCTTCAACTAGCAAGGTGTTTGGAGAGGGAACAGCCGCTTCCAACATGGGTGGATTTGGGTAAGAAATGTCCCTGTTCTGTTAACGTTTTGAAAGAAAATGTCTATTTTTTTTGTGTAATTATTTTTTTCTTTCCTTCCTTTGTATTGAAAACAATACAATATTTTATACTGCTGTTACTCTTTAAGGCACCAGGCTTACACCATATTTGAGGTGGAAGTCATCTAATGCATTTCATTCTAGTGATTTATCTCATGTCAGAGAGAAGAACAGCAGGGTTCCTCCTGCAGCATGGAGCCATATGTTTGAGAAAATCTGTGTTCACACAAACAAAGCGCACAAAGCTGGACTGCATTCAGATGATCAGAAAATCAGGGGCGCTTAGTTTGACACATTTCTCAGCAAATTAAAGGGCCAAAGCTTTTTGTTTACTTATGATACTGAACTCGTGTAGATTAATTGTCGGGATACTCTCTGCGAGCTGGTGATTTCTTTCTGCCGTATAAATGATCGCAGCTCTCTGGAAGTCAAACTCCAATTTGATTTTGCATAGTCTGAAACGGAGTATCTAATCTGCTTATCCCTCTGGTCATTTCCAGCATGTGTATGTGTTTATCATGCAGTAAGCATGGCTACAGGCCTAAAACTATGGATCTCTGTGCTGGTGTAGATTATTGCCCCGAGATAATCCCAGTCCAGGGTCATGCCGCCTGCAGATTAAACTGGCCTGCTCCCTCTATCTCTCTCACTGTTGTCCTCATACCCTTTTTTCCTCTCTAATGAGGGTCAGTGGGTGGGGGGTCCTGTTGAAGGGATTAAATCTGTCCCAGCCTTTCAATTGGACAAGCAAAAACACACAAGCCCCATGTTAAATCTTCTATCTGGATGACGTGTGTGTGTGGATACTTGGTCTAAGGAATGGCATCAGTGTTGCTGTTGACTTATGCCACCATTCTTTTGTCTCAGTGTTGATGTCTGATTTTAAATATGGCACCCAGAGTAGTGCCTTAATGTTTTCGTTCATTTGCTGTCCTCGGTTTAAGGCACTAAAACTCTAACCTTGTGGTTTTACTCCCCTATCTGCCCCCCCCCCCTCCAGGTTTGCCTCACCCTCCAGCGCCCCCTCTTTTGGGGCCCTCGCCACTCAGAGCGCTCCGTCATTCGGGAGTCTGTCCCAGCAGGGCACTGGATTTGGAACCCAGCCCAGCAGCTTCTCAGGCTTTGGTCAACAGCCACAAACGGGAGGTGAGACAGCTACTTAAGTCTCCTTGAGTCCAAAGATGGGAACTTAGTAAAGTTCCCGTCCAGCTGTTTCTCCGCTTTCATTCATTCACCTCTCTGTGGTCTCTATAACTCACTCGGGCACCTTTTACCTTTTTTTGGGCAGCCATCAGTATCTTTGTGGTTGGTTCTATGCCTAGTGAACATCATAAATCCTACTCCGTCCCAGAACAGACACACATCTGGCTTGTAGATTTAAGACTTCCATCAGGACTGAGATTGCTCATCCTATTTATCTTTTTTTTTTTTTTTTTTCAATTTTGTAGGGTTCTCCGGAAACACCTTTGGGTCTGCAAACCAGTAAGTGTAGTCAATACGTCTAGTTTTGATTTAGTTTCCAGTGTGCACTGATGAGCAGACAGGGCCGCGCTTCTGTACATCTGTGGTTCATTCTGCCCGTGGCCTTACAGCTTTTCTTCCACTACAGTGCTCCCAGTAGAACCCTTTCTGATTTATTATACCACATCCTCACCTCTGGTTTGCGTCCTCCTCTTCGTCTTTTCTGCCCAACGCCACTTTTTGACTGAACTAATCTAATTAATCTTCTTTTTTTGCCTCGTGCTCTTAATAAGGACTTATCAAGAAACATTGCAGACATGTTTAGAAAGCTATGACAGCAAATACTGTTCAGTCCCTGGGTGTAGTAAATTTACTTTTAAGTGTCTGGAGGTGTAACCCCCCCCCCCCCAAATCCTTTGATTTCATTTCCCCTCCCAATGCATCTCTTTTCTACCTTGCATCCATCAGTCTGATTTCTCTCAAACTGCTACCCCTCCATTTGCTGCAGTGTGTCACATGGCAGCCAGCGTTCCCCGGGGTGTGTTCCAGTGGAATGCTCTCTGAAGTGTGTAGGAGTGTGTGGAGATGGGGCTTAACCTATCGAACACATTCTCATGTTGATAATTCTCCTCTCCCTCTAATTTTCCCGGTCTGATTAGCTTAGATATCATTTCTAATGTACTTCCAAAACAATAAATTCTGAAGATTTGACGTAATTTTTTTTAACTTTGGATAAGAAATTTTGCAAAGACATGACTAAAAGAATGTTACTGGGATTTTTTATATCCTTTCTGCTTATAATTGAGTTAGTCTTCACCGTCAAAGCGCAAGCTGTCTGTAAAACAACAAAATCAGATAAACAATCACTGAAATAGCTAATCAATTTGAATATATACATGTGTGTGTATATATATAGTTTCTTAGCTAAAACATTAAATAGTCTCATAATAGTGAACCTACCACTGTTTTCCTTAATGTTAAACTCTCATTCATTTCTCTCTTTCTGCTTCTTCTCTTGTCTTTTTCCAGATCCAGTACTCAATCATTTGCTGGCTGGAGAAGCTAGGTTTTAAAAAACAAAAATCAACAATCTCCCTGACCGTTCTGCCAGCATAAAGTCCTTAGTGCTTCATCATGGTAGCTGCATATGGGGTGATGTATGATCAATTAAATGCAGCTGACAGTTGGGCATTTACAGGTGATGTCTTGAATCTTCATCCTGTGCAGCTTAGGTTTTAGTGGATTCATGTGTTGTTAACTGCAAAGCAAAAGAAATCCCGTACAAACATGTCATCCTCACGCAATGCTCCTTCTGTTATTGTCATTCATCAAAGTTGTTTATATATTTAAGAAACAATTTTTTGCCCAAAAAGAATGCTGGCTCACTTTAAATGTTTCTTTATTTGATGCAGTTTACATGTTAATTTTTTTTAAAAAACATCTTGTTCAATTCTGATGCAAACAAATGTAATTTCCAAATTATTTTCGCCACAACGCCTTCCTTTGGTGTCTATTTTATCAGGAACATTTAGAAATAAATGATATTTCTCGAATTATTTCAAGTTGTTTTGAATGTTTTTACATCTTTATTTCCAAATGTCATTCAAATGAGGAAGATTTTCGATTAAATTCTTTCAGATTTAGTCTGGAAAGGAAAAAGAGTCATCTAAAACCTTCCCTGTGTGAGTCCAGGATTGGCTTCCAGTCTAGATGATGCAAACCCTGCTTCAGCTCCGATTTCCACACACACAAAAAAAAGTAGGTCTTTGGTTTACATAGAACCTTCTGGTCAGTGAAAATCAAAGCATCCAGAAAAGTCCCTCTGACTGAGAATATAGATTCAGGAAACGAGCCTTCAAGTACGGCAGCCTAATATGTGGCGGCGTGGAGAACAGTGTGGAAGCGCGCCCCGGGCCGTGTTTATATGGCCGGGTAATGAATGCAAAATCCTTGTTTATATGCCGCTCCTTCCTCCATCTGCAGTACGGAGGCCGTCCACTCGCATACAGAGCTGAGGCGTGCTGTGTGAGAATGCTGATGGGGTTGGAAGGCACAATGTCATGGCAAGTGGCCACTTGCAACAGAAGTGAAATACCCAGCTGATGTCTGCGGAGCATGTCAGCGCCACTCTGTCAGCCCTTATCTTGTTTCTCCAGCTAAATGTGTGCCAGAGCTCCTGCTCACTTTGAAGAGGCGCAGGAATGTCAGGGTCATTGGACCTGTAATAGCCACCTGTTTTAAAATGGCAAAATCCACTGTTTGGCTCTGAGAACTTTTATTAGGGATGGATCAGCGGCCAAAAATATTTTCTTTCTTATCCCTCTGTGTGAAAGAGACATAAGGGGCGGAGTCACTCACACCCGGCGATGTGTGTTCCGAAGCAGATTTATTTGATGTCTTAGGTAAAGAATTACAATTGAACACATTTATAGAGGCACAGGGGCAGTTGCAGAGCCCAAAGTCTGTAATGCTTTCAGCTAAAGCGGATGAGCTTATGAGCTTTTCTGCACCCACTCCACAACAGGCCTCGATGAACACATTAAAAGCGGAGTGGTGTTTGGTCTTGCTCGTAGTTTTTGCATTTTTTACCACGGATCCAGCGGAAACGTGCAGAAGTCGTAGCTCCTGTCTGCTATTGTTCCCATTGATGAGAAGAAAAAAAAAAGAAAAAAGCCCAGTCTTTCAGGGAACTCGAGAGGTTGGCAGCTGTCTTTACTGAGTCCATCTAAAAATAGCTCTGTCCAAACCAAACGCCCACCTGCCCCTCCCCCAGTCGCAACCCTAATTCTGTTTTGCTCCCGGCCCCACCCCCATCGGGGCACGATTAACATCTCTCCAGCGCATCCGTAGCTGACACATTCATCTCCACTGGATGCACCACCGCTGTGTGTGCATCTCTGAGCCTTTGGGCGTTTTTTTGATGAACGGCGTGCCGTCTCTGTTGAACGCCACTCATCACGTTCACTCGAGCGTCTCCTGTGCTGCACACGCTGAACCAGCATGGCTGCTCAGGTCGCTCCGCTGAGGGAGCCGGCCAGACGCTCACATCTGGAGCAAAGGGCACACTTTACCCTAATGGGTACATTTCTTTGCACGTATATAATGCAAATCCAATAATGCGCCGAAAAAGAAGAGCAGAACCTTTCTTCTGATTTCCGTTTTTTTCTGCCGACTGTGCCGTCTCCGTACTCCAATTGATTTGACTCATTTAAGGCTTAACCCTCCATTTTATACAGAGCTGCTCCACAGGGATGCTTTCGGCGCCTCTTCACACTAGGAAAGTTGGATAGATAGTAGTGACACAAATATTTTTCTGGCTTTTGGATGTTAGTTTTTAAATAGTTGGGGAAACAAGAGCCTTCTTTGTCATGGTCAGAAGAGGACAACTGCAGGCTTTGTTTTACCAAATGTTAGGATGCTAGCTCTTAGGATTAGAGGAAAACTCATTTTTTTATTTATCTTGTATAATCTGGGTTTAAATGGCTTTAGAGAAGCATAAACTTGTGTCAAATTGAAGTAAGAATCAAGTTTTAGTCATGTCCACATCTATGTTCTGTGGCCCTGTATTGCCATAGAAAATCTAAATCATTCTCTTGACAGCATTCAGTTTTTTAAATGTCAAAACCCTGTAGACGTGTGCTGAAGTCTTCTTATACCAGCTCTATTTGTGTCCAGCTTGTCACCTCCAGCTATGTGTTTATCTCTTCTTTCAGCGCTGTCTCACACGCCTGCATTTATTGCTACTATGAAGCTGCGGGTGATACGAACGCACCCACTCCGTTTGAGTATTCACTCTGAGATGCCAAGAACAGCTTCGAGCTCCAGACAGAATACGATAACATCCGAGCCATTGGGTCCATCCCTAACCTCCCAACTTTTAATTACCTTCCAGCCTCAGCTCCAGCTCACCGCTCACTTTCCTTCTGTCTTTAACTCGCTCAGGGATTATGGAAGTTGCTTATCTTGATACTTCAAAGAGGCTTGATACCAAACTATTTAATTTCCCCCGAACTCCATTCAGTCCTCAGCTATTGTGCACCCTGCCCCTGCAGGAGAAGCCATTTTACACGTGACCCAACAAAAGCAGGTGCATGCAACAGCAATTTCAGCACTTGGCTACTTTGCATGTGAATGGATTACTGAGAATGGGCTTAAAGTCTTATCTAATAAACATTATCATGGATGTCAGGCATTACCACGGATGTCAGGGAGAAGGATTTTGGAATCACCGGAGCTGTATAGATCTGCTAAAGGTTTTTTTTAGATTAGCCAAAAAGCGTTTAATGAAAATGCACGGGCACTTTAATGGTAACAAATCCTCGTTTTCACGTGTAAAATATGTGATACTGCTCATCCATGAGCCTTCTAAAGAGTCATGTTAGCCAAACAAACTACTGCAGGGGGTTTCTGTATAACATTTCTAATCATTTTCTGCTGTAGAGGACTTGGTTGGAGGATTTCATCAGTATCCCCCTCGAACGATTCAGTTTATGCCCATAACTCCATAGTCCCTGTTCTTACTTTTTACGAAGCAAGCATCTTCTAAATAAATGCATATTGAATACTACTGATGTAAGCAGTCTGTTTGAGTTTCAGTGTAATAATTTCTTCCCTTTTATACTTTAGTACTTTGTCTTAAACAGTTACCAAAGCTGCTGTTATAAGTCATTAATAAATCAACACGAATAGGAAGAACTTTTTAGACTCTTTCTGTTCTCTCATGTCTCTTTAAAAACATGTTAACTCAACAGCTTTTTGCTCATTCTCTTACACCTAATAAAAAAAAATGGTGGTCACAAAATAAGAGTGAAATGCAGGTTCAAGCAAAGTTTTGAAGTTCTTGAGTTGTTGGATTCTTTAAATTGAATTTATTCTACTTCCCTCTTCGCTGCCGTCAAGATTGAAGCAGAGGTATCGTTAAAAAGGAAAGAGCCCTGAACATTACAGTTCATTAAGACCAGGACATACATATTAACAGGAGGTAATTATGGCCTGGGTTCATTTAAGGGGCTCGGTTTAACATCTCACAAAGCAATTTAGTTTTTTTTTTTACTGCACAAAGGATCAAGATGCTTTCCCTCAGGAGCTGCTTGTGATGTCTGACTTTATTACAAAAGCCTCAGCAGATTGTGGGAGGTGTGGAATCCAGCGCCTTGACGTGCCGTTATTACACAGAAGCGGGTTAAGGGTAGCTGACCGGTACCCCAGGCCCAGCTGGTGGGGTGTTCAGTGCTCAGTTGCTGTCGCTGAATGAGACGGAAAATGAGATTTCCGCGTGTGATAATCACTTTTTGTCCTTATTCAAGGCTTAGTCTTGTAGTCCAGATGTACATGTTGGTTAAACGCCGCTCTTACATAACGGGAGGGGGTATTAGTGAGAGTACCAGGCTCAAGCTTGAGGCTGATTTTCTTGCTTTGATGCAGCAATTCATTTTAATAAAACCTACATAATATCCTCTGGATGGCACCTAGAGGCGCTGGAAAGTCTTATAGCCTCCGAGGGTATTAAAAAGTTTCAAATTTGATTTGCTTAAGTCTGCCCCAGGTTTTAATATTGTTTAGAGAAATGTCGCACACTGGAGGTGTTCCGCTTGAAACGGGATTGCTCTGGCACTTTCAATCTGGGTCGCCTGTGTGTTTTGACATCTTCTAGCTGGAGAATTTCATTTACCGGAAATAAGCCTTCCCGTTTCTTTTTGCAAACCGACTCATATAGCCGGTATTTAATGTGGGATAGTTGATGCCAGAGTCTTGCATGATGTAAAATTCAATTAACTTTGCAATCATTAGATGTCCGACTGTACCAGCATGATCTATTTTACTGCATCACAGGCAAATTGCTCTGTCCCTGCTCACAATAGCCATTAGAAAACTCGGCATCAAGTGTAATGTTTTAGTGGAATTCCCATTGGGAGCATTATCAGAAGAGATTGTACACCTTGAGACATAAGGGAAATCTCAGAATGCCTCAGTTTGTGCACACTGAATGTTCCACTGTGTATAATACACTAGGATGCAAACAGTTTGTTGTATGGCAGTGCCCTCACCTCATTTATAGGAAATGACTTTCTGCTACTCGTTTCAAACCGGTCTGGTTGCAGCCTGCTGTGTGTGTGGACAACATGCTGTGTGTGTGGACAGCATGCTGTGTGTCGTCCCCTGGACCCAGAGCTTATCAAAGTTTGATCCATCTTTGGATGTGCGGCACGTCCAAACTTTGCCCACCTTTTGATGAAGAACAGCCGAAGGCCTAATTCCTGAAATACACAGGTTGTTTTTCAACCTTAGATCCTGACTTCTGTCACTGTGTTTTTTACTGTGGAGGAAAAATGAATGCTGTGATGTTCGGTGCCTGGTTCCACGGACAAATCCTGTTTACCTTTTTCCCAAATTGTTTAATCCTTCTTCATCCTATCAGACATTTTGGTTCTGAAGGCCATAGAGTCATTCCATATTTTGTATGAATATTCAACCATAGATGTATGGTGGTCTCTCGCTTGTTGGTCCTCCTGTCTGACCAACTTCCTGATTATTCACTTTGATGGGGCATGCAGATCTGAGCAGGCGCTTCAAACATTTTTTTTACAGGAGACTGACGTCCATGTTTGCAAGAAGTGGAACTGTAAGAGGTAAGTAGATTAAATTATTTAGCGTAACTAAATTTAAAATAATTTGATTTGTCCTGCTTCAAGCAGCAGAATTGAAAAGTATTTCATATTGTTTTGAGATCTCACAGGAAGATGGTTCTTGAACCTTTTATGTGGCGTGGCAGAATTAACAGTAAAGTCTGGCTCAATGATTGTGCAGTGATTTATTTCTTTTTTAGGTATAACAACTAGGGACAGGTGGATGCGTGCAGAGAGACACTGCAGCCATGTAAATATAGCCATGAATGTGCAGTTCAGGAATGTGACCAGGATAGCAAAGATTATAGAGGTTGCACATTTGGAACCGACTGAACCGGGTTAAACCTTTTGGGGGCTGTCCACGCATAAACATGGAGCTTATAAGATCTTATGCGGGAATTCTTCCAGATACAAATAGACGGAATTTGCTGAAAAACTAGCACCACCACACTTGTGCTGTAGACTTTAACTTCCAGGTTTTCACTCTACACTTAAAGAGGTAATAGTACATCATCAGGGACGATCAGGTAAAGAAATCCTACAGATCACATGGCATATTGGTCTCCTTGATGAGTCTTGTGTATGTTGCTTGGTGAAGACTAATTGACTAATTAGCCACTTGTTTTGGGTTGACAAAGAAATTCAAAAGCCACTTAGAGCTGAAACTCAGAATGCCTCCCTTCTGATAACCCCTTCATCCCACATAAAGAAGATAATCATACCAAATCAGGGCCCCATACATCGATTGACAGTTTCAGTTGGATAAGGAAGTGTTGCTGCCTGCATACCCAAACTCAAAGCTGGGCTTCTCTTTCCCCTGCATTTTGAATCTGTTCTTTTTTCTTTCTAAGAAAAAGACATCAGCATGCTACATAGTTGCACTCTGTAATATTTTTGTTTCATAACAGCAACCTTAGGCACAGTGGTTTATTTCGAATCCATTACTAGGCTAAAAATTCTTACTTTAACGCGATAAATTAATTGATCTGCTGCTGAAAATAGCCCCTTACGAATTCACCGTTTCCTTTTTGGTTTTTTTGGTTTTTTTTGTGTTTTGGCCTTTGGATCCGGAGCGCAGCATTTCTGCTGAAAATCCTGGAGTGTCTTTATAGATTAAAATACATGATCAGGAGGAGTTTATGGCCATCCGGCAGAGAAGTGCCAACATCAACAAATTGTCTTCAACAAACGTCTTCTGACACACTTGCACACTGTCATGTGTTTTGCTTTGAGTTGTGTAGCCTCAGGATTTGTTTATGAGTTTGTTTGCTTTTAGAATGTTTCCAATTTGTCCATTAAGTTTAGGAGTGCTGTATATTGGAGAGAATAAGCAGAACAACTTGGTGCCATTAATAGTCCAGTGAAAGAGCAATCGGCTGCCCAAAACCAATTTCCCAGGAACCAAATTGGTATAAATTTTGGGTTTGGTGGACAAATAAATTGTAGTCTTTGGCAAAGCAGCTGTAAATAACTTTTAAGTTCCACAGCTGTGCTCTTCTGTGTGCTGGAACTAATATGACCCTCGCTGTCCACCGTACCGTCCGTGACAACACTGAATCGGATCAGATCAACATACTGCTGTAAGGACGCTTTACTGTCTGAAATGAATTTGGATTAATGGGGGGGTTGCATCACAGTAGACGTTACAATAAAATGCATAAGCCTTTGAATTCTGAGCTCTAAAATGGAGCTCAAATGAGAATCATCAATCCAGGGTTGTAGTTTCCTTTAAGCTGTGATAAAGATGAGATTTTGCTCCTCTGTTATCGGAAATGGCTGAAAGGAAGATGACAGACAAACGTTTGTATTATTACCCCTTTATTCATTCATGAAAAAGACCTTTAATATATTTTTTTCAGGGTTTGTTTCCCCAGTGTTGTGCATTTTCACAGTTTTAAATAATTGCCAGAACCAACCTGTTTTCAAGTATTCATGTAAAAGTCAAAGAACACACAATTCCAGTGCTCAAAACAGGAAACACACTCAGTAGCTCATGTCAACTTCTGTGCTGCATTTGGGGTTATACTTGAAAGAATGACTTGTATTTCCTGACATAAAACAAAAAGCAAAGTGAACAGACCTATGGAGTTTCTCGAGGGATGAATCCCAAAAGAAAAGCAATAAAAAGAAGCCAGGTGGCCCTGAGTGTCTACCAATGTCTCATGGGGGTGGGGGGGAGGAGGAATGAGACAAAAATGTAAATCAAAGGTAGCAGCCCTCTGAAGAACTGTAACAAAGTGGGTTTAGGAGAGGAGACGTCCACTCACTTGGCACTGCCCTTCAGGCATGGCTACACCTGTAACGTTTCTCTGGAAGAGCAAAGACTAATTTAATCAGAAACAGGACCGCCATTAAGTGCTGGGAGGTTTTCGGCCTCACACATCTCCAACAGTGTCTCGCTGCATAGTTTTGGCATTGCTCAATATTGGCACGCTTTGCCATCCATACATGAAAAAAACTGAAACGTTTTTTATATTTATCTATTTCTTTTATCTGGCTTAGATAAAAGAAGCATCGCTGAAGTTGTCAGAGATGTGAACACAAATCTCACATCATCAAGCCACAGACATCGTTAACAGACTGAAAGACGGAGAAGACACTTGGTGCCGTTTTCCTACAAAATAGCATTAAATGCTTCTGGTTGATGACATATACACACACTCTGTGTTTCCTATTTCGAATCTTAAGATCCCATTAGCAAACAGGGCTGTTTGTGTATGTGGCTTTTTAAGCATGCGCCGTGTGTTGGGATGGTCCACGTGCAAGCCCGATAAATGAGTACACACTGCCAATGTGACACTGCTGTGACAGTCAGATATCACACCAGGCCTGCTCCTTTCCCCTCGGGGTAGTTTTTCCTGTGTGTGTGTTTGTGAGGGCAAGCTGCCGCCCCTGTTCGCTGACAAGGACATAACCTTGCTTCATCCTGTGTGTGTGTATGCGTGTATGTATGTATGCGTGCGTGCGTGCGTGTGTGTGTGAGAAAGACAGAGAGAGGAAGATTCATGACTTAACAACAGCTCAAACAGTTCTGGTGAAACTCCCCATCCTGACCGAATCCCTCCAGTAGGACCCGAGCGCACACACACAGACTGTGGGCCGCATGTTGTGTGTCAAAGCTAACTGACCCTGTATGTGGACGGGCCCGGGTACTGTCCACAGCATCTACAGCCCCTCAGATCGAAATAACTTGTGGCTGGCGTCCAAGTCAGACTCGGAAGATTTCTGTGATATTTTCAGCCGGTATTAATGTCCGCGTAAATTCAGTTTGCTGTTTTTTTTGTGTATTTTTTTATATATCCATTGCCCACGTGCTTGCTGCCCCCTCAAGGACTGTTGACTGTCTCTCATTTTTGCCGTTTGACCTCACTTGATCCCGAATAGTGATGCTAGCTGTGCTGGCTTAGCTCCGTTCAATTCATCAGAGATATCAGAAAGTGTGTCACTGCGGATCTAATTATGACACCAGAACCCCCCCGCCCCCACCCCAACCCCCCACCCCCTGGCCTCTTAGTTCCTTTTCTCCTTCACCCTTCATCTCAGTGCCCTGTGACTCAGCATGTTATAGAGGCATGCTGCAGCTGACCATGGACCACCAGCATTTATTAGCTTGGAACACAGCTGTAATTTAGCCCATGCCCTGGACAAATCCGAACAGTGACCTCTGGTTCTGCAAATACGTTTAGCTCATAGCGCTTTACTCTAGAACGCCATAAGACTGTTGTTCTATGCCATGGTGGTATTAACCATCACTTTTAAATGTCAATATGTTTTTTTTTTTAATATAATATGGTTAAATACGGTTCATACATCCCCAAAGCGTTGACCCTTTGAGGTCTTGGTAAATGCCATCTGTTAAAACAGAGTATGTATTTTTCATTTCCTATAGAGAAAATGGCCTGAAATGAGTTTGATGGATCAACGTAAGGATAATCTCCACTGACCGTATGGTAAAGGGTCATGTGGGCAGCAGCACAGGCAGCAGCTGCTGATCAGCATAGAATCTCCAAACCTTCAATGACAATGCTTCTTTAACCACTGCAATGAAGACTGAATCTAAGCTGTTACTCAGGAAGCTGTTGGCTTAACCAGTAAAATGAGTCTGACTTAACCAAACGGGTTCCTCATTTCATTATCCTCACTCATAGCAGGATATATAAGGGGATTCTAGAAGAAGTGTACGAAGCAGATGGGATTTATATCAAAAGTGATTTCCCACAGGAGCTGGAGGAAGTGAGAAGTTTGCATCATCCGAATTTCTGATAAGGACGTAAAAAGAAAGAGCGATGACAAATTCAGCTACTTTTTGTCTGCTTTTAGGGGGGGATTTTCCAGTTGATTGGGCATCATGTTTCTGGGCGCTGATATTTAGCCGACCACAGTTGTTCTGTTCATGCGTGTGAGCCTACAACACATTTACTGCCGATCTGAAAAAAAGAAAAGAAAAAGGAAGGCTAACCCCGCATGCACCAAGAGCTGCAACTGGGAGTCAAGAGAAGTGGGTCATCTATATGCCAACCGAGCAGTCGGCATTAAACTCTCGTGTATCCTGCTCAGCTTTTCAGCCTCGGCAGCGGATAAAGAGTGAGAGAAAAGAGAGGTGGAGGCAGGGGGAGAGAGAGGAAGTGGGGGTTAGGGAGGGAATACTGCTCTAGTGATTAGAGATGATGAAAGCGGGACACAGACATCAATGTCACTATGAGGAACGGATCTTTGTAGTTTTAATTCGGTAGAAATAATTTGGATGCCTTTTTAGAAAAATTATAACCCAGATGACAATAATGAATATGAGTCAAGAAAAATGGCAAAGAAACAGGATTGCACACAAGCAGCCCCACTACTGTGTCCACCGACAGGTCATCCCTTATTAATAGAAGTATTGATTGTTCAGTGTGGGCAGTGCAGACTGTAGTAATAAGAAGTAGACAAGACAGGAAGGATGAAAAAGAGACAAGGGGGAAGTACCAAGGGGCCCTGAGACGGACTGATGTAGACAATTCTACCACAGCCAATCAGCAAAATAAAGTGACTTGAGTGAGGTCAGCTGCAGAGCGCGAGCCAGTCGATTTTTCTCAAGACGTCTCTTTTCCTACGAGCTACGGATGATTGTTGTATTCGCTTCTTCTCACAGAGCATCTCCTCTGCTGCACAATGCACTCGCAAGGCAACAGCGCTACTTAAATTGCTTGTAACGAAAAAAATAATACTGCTCACGCTTCTCAGACGATAGATTTGCAAGCTCACTGCAGCTAAACACAAAAGCCTTTATTTGAGACTTGTTTTTTTTGTTTTTTTTTCCCCTGCGTGAGAGTTCCTGTCCTAAACCCACACATGCCAGCACCAAAAGTCTGGAAGAAACGGGACAAATGACCGCATACTGCATCGCACTTTGTTTTAAGGCTAAATAGTTTGCAGTGGAAAGCAGTGTAAACGTAAGGCAGCATGGACTTGAATGTCTTGCATGTTCTCAAAAAGTAATAAATCAGCTATGTCGCCCATTGCAGTTTGCCTCGTAAAGAACAAAACAACATCAAAACAAGTAAATGCACTCTTGTCCAGCACATAAATAAAAACCACGGCTGGTTCTCAAAACGCAAAGTTTGTGCAGCATGTGTGCAGACTTAGTCATGCACTGTTGTGTTCAGACCCTCCCACACTCTGAAAGCCCACCGTCGCTTGGCTCCAAGAGTCAAAATGAAACGCTACTCTAAATCATGTTTTGTATTTTAGCACAGTGAGACCCGACCCATGTGTGAGGGTAGAATGGTTGCAGTTAATTCTCTCCAGTTTATTCCGAAGGTTTGCTCGAGATGGTCTCTTCCTCAGTGCTGGTTTCATTTGCCTGTCATATGTTTCCATCCGTCCTTTTAAAACATCACAGGAGAAAAATATAGAGGCAGAATGAGGGGAAATAAATATCAATGAGGAGTTAAAACCAAAAAGAGCTGGTGTAGAGGCAATTCTTAAAAAAACAAACAAAAAAAAAGATGATACTGTTAAGGTATCAAAGGCCGGTCTGGTCTTTGGAACAGGTCAGTATTTGGGTGGGATGACCACCACGGGGTCACCATTCTTTGGCCGCCACATCAGCACCTGGGCATCGTTGGCGTTGGGCTTGACCGTGGCGTTGGGGGGGATGGGCTCGTTCTTGCCCAGGACCTGAGGCTGTTCCTGGGCTACGGGTTCCTTTAGAGCAGCCCTCTTACCCAGCGGCTTCTCTGGGTCCACTTGGATGTGAAGACGCATCCTCCAACGGATGGTCTGCAGGACCAGCGTTTCCGAGGTGGCCTGATTGATGGCTACCAACCAGGTGGTGAAACTCTGGTCGCGGCGGATGCTGCTAAGCTGAGGCACGTTGCTGTCGCTGACCGGTACTCCCCAGGTGACGCTGGGGTAGAAATTGTCATTCATACTAACGGTAAATCTGCTGTCCTTCTTGGTGGGCCCCACCACGGTGCAGGTCTCCGTCGTGTTGCCGTACCACGGGTAGTTGACGCCGTCCGAGTCGCTGATGGCCTGGATCTTGCCGTCGCGTAGGTCAGGAAGCTCCCAACTGGACCTAGGAGTTGAAAGATGTTATGGTTTGTGATTTGGCCCCTGGATTAACGTTTCACAGCAAAATACGACAACCTCAATGGGGATGACAACCACCTTTAAACTCTAAAATGAAGGATATTTTAACTTTTCTGTCATTGTTTTGTTACAAGCTTTGACCAAAAGATTACGAAACATTTGTTCAATTGTATTTGTGGTTTTCTTGTTCATTTCCTTCTGCGTAGAAGTTCTGTAATTTAAAACTCAAACTTAATTCATTCAGGTGGGTTAGCATGTTAGCCTCCACATGTGTCGGTTTCTGCATGCGCATTCTTTCACATTAGGAAATGCGGATCACTTAATTATTTTAAATAATACATTCTAAACATAATGCCAAATGTGCAATTAAGAAATTAATAGGATGTGTAATCAATGGAAAATTAACGATCATTGTTCTTTGTAAAGAAACTTGACGTCAAATAGGACCGTGCCACCTCACTGCTTAGCTTTATTACTGAGAGGGGAAGGCCTCGCTTCCTGTTTGTGCCTTCACTGCCTGCTGTGTCACAACTTAACGGTCTGCTGTGGCGGTTTGAGTGTCTTTGACTAAACCGCGGGCATTGTAAAAAAAAAAAAAAAAAAAAAGTTGACTTCTTATTTACAGAAAAGAAGAAAAAGCTGCTCAGCTGTCATACTGAAACGCCTCGGCATGTCAGCTTTTGCACATGTTGTGTATTTCTGTTGCATGTATTTCCGTTTTGCATGTATTTATTTTTGCAAAATTAATTAAACGTTGTAGACGTTTGTAGACTGAGTGCTCTCGGTTCTCACCGGGTCATGAGAACAATTTCCTGTCATCGAGCATTTTGTGGGTTAGTCCATTTACCATGCGAGTGTCATCAGAGCAGAAGAAAGACAGCATAGAAATAACTTATTTCCTGTTGCTACGGCTCTACTGCCGGGTTCTATAGGCATGCTTCAGGTGAAAGGTTTGACAGTAACAAAGACGTCGAGATACAGTTGTAGATTAGACAGAGGAGACCGGAATCAATAAAGCAGTCACTGCATTGCTAGGTTTCGTCACTGTGTGTGTGTGTGTGTGTGTGTTTGTGTGTGTCTGGGTCTGAGACAGGACTGCCAAATCAGTTTAGGGCGCGTCACGTGAACATTTTTGATAAGCGCTGAAAATCAAGCATTCTTTTCCCTTCTTGTTTCACTCGGGAATGCTTGTACGTTTGCATGCCTGCTACAAAGAGCGAGCCGTCTGCCTGACGCTACAAAACTGTGCCTCTGTGTAGCCCCGGGGTGCGATTGGCTAGTGATGAATGTGTTCAGAACTGTGGATGCATCATCCAAGGCCGACGAAGGAAGCATGTATATTAGCATCCTCAGCTGTTCTGCCCAATTACAGCGGCCTACAGCTCATCGGTAGATGATTCTCTGCAGAGACTCACCACCTGCTTCTAAATACTGCTTCTTTTTTTTGGAGAAAATGTACATGAGGAACATTTTTTCTAAAGTTTGAGTATTATTTACCTATAGCTAAAGATTATAGCATTGATGAGTTTACTGTCGCAGCTGGAGGTTTGGACACTTTGGCTCCTTTAAAAGACATTGAGTGCTATGTGAAACTGTTGACTGCTACTGGATACCAAGTCTTTCTCTTTGGAGCGTAAAGTGTAGCAGTTTCATAGTGAGGGCTCTTTGCCCCAGCACACTGTTTTCAGTTACAATTTCCTTATTTGCATCTCAATATCTAAGTGTTAAAGTTGGAAATATCATCAAGTGAACTACTCTCTGTGTTTGTAGCCCTCACCCTGAACAATATTTCCCACGGTCCTTTCACTTCTCTTCTCCCCTTCATTTTTTATTAGTTATTTTTCTTGTTCGTTCTCAGTCAGGAGTCGAAAATGATTCAGTACTTAAAAAGTCGAGATAAAGGTTGCCAAAAAAGCACCAATTAGTCCGCTGAAAAGTTGGAGGTTGTCTAACTTTTTTCACTGTCTTACTCTTTTCTACTAACACGGATAAGTTGATCCTGCATTCATTCAAAGTTAAGCATAGGCCAAAATTTACAGCTGAGCAAAATAAGTAGCAGCAGGCCGGGGTGGGGGTGTGAGGAGACCACTGTGACGCTAATCTTAGGCGCACAGCACCAAACATCGTCCTCTGCAGTATCTACAGATAAAGTACACTTAAGATCAGCATGCGGTTGCCCAGTTCGTACAGTAAACAAGTAACGTGTCTGACAGGAGCAGGAAAGGGTAAAGAATTGTACAGAGGGAGAGCAGTTAGAGCCCACAAAAGCTGAATGTAAAAAGAGAATTTGTTTGGGTCTGTTTTGTTAATAACCACTGATGCAAAAGAACTGTATTGACAGGTGGATGGATCTGAGGGGGTCACAGCAATAAGTTTCCAATCCAATGTCCAGCTCTCGTATCCGTCAGGTTTTTAAGCCACAAACGAGAGCTGAAATAACTAACCCCATAGTTTATATGGCCTCTGTAAAAAAGAGAATTAATGCAAGAGGCGAGGCTGGTGCTGTCAAGATGCAACTACTAGCAAGTTTCACTACTGCATATTTTTTTCCCTGAAATATAATTTTAGCATCATTTGCAATACTAAAACAGGAAGCTCGACATTTCAAAAGTTTTCTCCTCTCGTTGGGTCACCATTGCCTGCTGCTTTATATGAGTAACAAGTGTCTTCATCGACAAGTATCTAATGTTAAAATCTGATGTTTTAGGTCCTCATTTTCCAAACTGGTTTCAATTTTGTCTGTAATGCATACTTTGTTTGCTTTTTGAGAAGACGGAACTTTTAAAATTACAAGTACTTTAGTCTCATAGAAATATCGGTTATCGCAAATAAAACCTGTTAAATCACTGATCTCACAAAATACAAAAAGTAAATAATGAAAATCATACAGCACCAGTGGTATTTTCAGATTTAAATAAAGCTCTCACTTTTTTAAACGCTTCTTAAAGGGAATCAGTGATAACAATCCTACTTACAGATTCATTAGTACAGAAAATATTTTACATTTATTTATATTTACAAATATTAATAGGGAAAGAATAATATAAAGGATAAGGAAATAAAGAACTGTAAAGCAACTGGGCAAAATATAGGCCTCTCAATGAAAAGGTTAATTGTGACTAATATGAATAGTTCCTGAGTTATTAGCAGCCATGACCACAGCTGACTAAGACCAGTCAACTTAACAACAGTGAAGTCCAGTGATCAAAACATAAAATATATTATCTGGTTATAAGTTTGAGCAAACACATCCACTAAACACGAACGATCAGAAAAATAGGTCATGGTACTCACATCCCTTTGTCCCCATATGTATTGTAGAACTCCATGTGGTTACAGGCTTGAATCCAGCCGATGGTCCATGTCTCCTTGGCCGCCACAGGTGGAACAAGGATTCGGGCATTGGCTCGGAAGTGAGGTGTCCGGTAGCGAAGGACCACGCTGGATGCCTCGTCGATGCTGGTGGGATTGGAGTCGATTGAAGTGTTCAGCTCCAGGACGATGATACTGTCTCGGAAACTCTTGGGCTTATATCTGATACTCTGGATGCAGCCCATTGCATCAAATTGCAACACAATCCACAACAACGTCCAGAGTTCTGGAGGAGGAGAAGAAAGACGCATGGAAACAGCTGGAGAATCACAGGTGGATCCAAATCATGTTCCCCTCCCACAATAGTTTACCAGCTCAGAATGTGCTCGTGTAAAGAGAAGACTGTCTCGTGGGGAGGAGAAAAAAACTCTTTGATGCAATAATGTCAAAGGACAGGAAGACAAGTAGGCTTATAGGAAATATTGCAGAGCGCATGCTTTCCGGTGCGTAAACGGTGCCACAACTTAGGTGCTCTAACTTAACTTCATTCATGCGTAAAGTGTTTTTATTCCTCCGAATTACTATGTCGGTGTCGACTAAAGAGCTTTAGAAAAAAAAAAGAAGATATGACAGTGTGGCATCCACATGGAAGGTGAGCTTTGGGATAATTACGCGTTGAATAATTAACTAAACTATAATATTACATCTTGGCGTCAGATTCCCTTTTATGCCAGTATTGGTGTCATCCAAAGCTGATCCCTGAACTGTTTATGAACCAGTGGCTGACACGCTGTCCAGCTGATGACAAAGACAGCCGGGGAAGGACGCGCTTTTAACAACTGGCGACGACTCTCGTTGATTTAAACAACCTCCATTCCTCCAAATAAAAAGTGTGATTTAGCTGTTTAAGAGTGTTACATAGTCTGCGTTTGCGGATTAAAGGATCGTGAAGTGTAATTACAGGAGTTGGAGCTCTATTTTAAGATGATGGAGGAGGAGGGGGTGGGGGGGTTCATGCAAAAATGAAGTCTACCTATAAAACAATAAACAGCGAGGTGTCCAGAGTCCTCAGCTGGGGGGGGGGGGATCCCGGAGAGAATCGGAGCCGGCGGCGGCTCTCACAGTTCCTCGGTCAGAGAGGTAATTCCGTTCGCCACGCTCCCCTCTCGCTCCCGTTATTTGTCGTCCCGGAGCAGCAGCTGATCTCCCCGTCCCATCGAGAGAGGTGGCATTTTCATGAGCGACAGTCTGGTTGGATTCTGAACAGCGTAACATCCAGAGGACGGCGCCGGATCAACTTCTGAGTCCGTTTACCCGGGTCCATTCTTGAATTTGAAAAGACAATGATAGTAAAAAAAAAAAGAAAAAAGAATGAAATAAAACTGCTCCAAAAATTGGAAAAAAATCTAAATAAAACGCCTCACTCGGGAGAAATGCCAGCTGTCACATACTTGGAGCCCTCCGACAGTGGCAGCCCTCTGTGGGAAGGGGATGCGGCTCAGCCTGAATTCCTGCACAAGCTGTCAGCCCTCCGTCCACGTCCCATCACAGCAGCCGCGACAGGTTCACCCCTCCGCGCATTGGTCTATTTGAGCGGTCTGGAAGGCAGCTTTATAAGCATCTCCATGACGACACTTCCGCCCCAACTCGCTGGCACGCTGGGAAATGTAGGCGTTGGCCGGTTTCTATTGAACGGGACAAACTTTTGGTCATTTTTAAGAACCGAATGAGACAAAAAAAAAAAGCTGCTAGCTTAAGTGCTACTGGAGTAAATAATAGCCGATATCTCTGCAAAAGCTACATGACCACTCTGTTCTTTTAGTGCACTACTCAAACGTTTAATTCAATTAAACTTTTAAGCTACTAACGTTCAATCGTTGAAAGGTCTAAGACTGAAAGCCTCTGTTTGATACCGAAGATTACTTTTAGTAGCAATTTGAACACTAATTCATTTATCCAGTTACATTTGTGTTCAAATCCTAGCCTGGATATTCACCACTCATTCCCAGCAGGGTTGCAGGGGGGCTGGAGCCTCTCCCAGCTGTGGCCTGGACATAGAATCATTCAAACTTAAATAACAGAAAGAAAGACAATTATTCACAAAAATGTAACAACACAGCAGACTATGCAACTACATAAAAATGGATCATTTCACACACAAACACCAGACCAAAATCAAGATAACATTTCACAAATCACATCAACAGCACACACGATCAAAACACAACATTGTAAAGGTTTTATTCTGTGGCCTACTCAGCTGCTGAATATGCTGAAATAGAGTGCTTTGGTTTGTGTGTGTGTGTGTTTTCCTTTTTTTATTGTGTTTCTGATCATCTGTAGCCACACTATTTTCTGAACTTAGTTGCCTCGTTTGTTCTGCTGCCTTTTATATTTTCTTGCTTGTGCTCCAAAAATTGCACGTTATGTTTTGTTGCGTTTATATGATGTCGTGAAACGCAGTTTTTTTCAGTATCTGCTACTATGCTGTATGATTTCTGGCGTGTATGATCAAAGGAAGGCTGGAGCCCCTTGGAGCCTGCTCGAGTCTTTGTTATTCGGATATTTATTGCCACGATCTTTCCTCGGTGTGTGAAACGTGAAGGCAGAGCTCGCTTCTGCTGGCTGGGCTGTCTTTTTTAAGCACCTTGGAGAACTCCGCTCCACAGCAGGGCGCAGTGCAGACGCGGAATTGTGATGGTGCGTGAACTACGTCAAATCCGCACGGAAGCTGGGGCGCTGCACTCTCAGGGCTGCCTTGTCTCCATCCTTTGTGTATGCTTTTGCCTCATTGTTCACTTTCTCAGGTTGTTTTGCTGCATCCAGAAACCCCCCCTCCCCCCCCCGTGAGATGAAGACGGGATCTGGAGACACCCTGTAAGGATATGATTCATCATTGTCTTGATAAGATCTCAGCCATGTTTTTTTTTGTTTGTTTGCTTTTTTCGTTGTGTTTGTTTGCGTGTGTCTTGCATGTTATACTGAGTTTTATTTGTTTGTCTCGCGTTAGACGCAGTGAAGCACCTGTTTCCTGTGTTGTCGTGGCGTAATGGTCGTGTTGTTATTTCATCCTCACACTACAGATCGGTTTTCCTGGGACAGACTGGAGGCAGATGCCATTCAATACACTCTGCCTGCCTGCGTGTTATAAACAGCATGGACATAGCACATTCCGGAGGCTCTAAATATATCTATTAAGGCCACATAAGGGGGAGGAGGAGGAGGAGGAGGAGGAGGGGGGGGGGGTGCTGGTGAAGAGGGTTTTATTCTGGGACATTTCACTGTCGTGGTGGACTTGTACCACTTGAATTATCATCCAGAGATTGCCAATCGGTTATCGTGCAGTCAGGAGAGGATAACGCGGCTCCTATGCAAGCATGCCCTCGACTGTGAGATCCAGGGCGCGCGAGAGGAACAGCGTCCTGGGCAGACCAGAGTTCATGTCCCTCAACCATCCGCCGACCCGCGGCGCGGCGGCGAGCGGCGCCTCGGAGACCCGCGGCAAATCCAAACGACCGGGTCAAATCAAGCAGCAAACCAGCCAGCAGAGCGAGGAACCTACCGACAGCGGCAGCAAAGACAGGAGGGAGTCCAACAAAATGCCCGAGGAGGACTGCATGCAGCTGAACCCTTCCTTCAAGGGGATAGCAATGAACTCCCTCCTCGCCATCGACATCTGTCTGTCCAAGCGCATGGGGGTGTGCGCCTACCCTTGGTCCTCCTGGGGAGGCTGCCGCTCCATGGCCTCTCTGGTGGCGCTCACGGGGCACGGCATCACGTGGATCATTGGCACTATCGTGTGTCTCACGCGGAGTAACACTTTGGCTGGACAAGAGGTCCTAGTCAACCTGCTGCTTGGTAAATGCCACATCACTCACCCACCTCCAAACCGCAAAATCTACTGTTCATCCTCTGTGCGCCATGCTGAAGTTATTTACGACCTTTTACTCTGGATGAGATTCACATTTTGCAGTGCACAATTACCCAACCTTGCAAAAGGCCAGAGCTAAACAGTTCAATTTAAGGGTTTAGCACAAATTGTAAGTCCACTTGAGACATGATACAAGTTAATTGAGATAAAGGTGAATGAAAACAGAAAGAGGTATTCACAAAAGTTGAAAAGAGAATTTGATTTGCCTTTGAAAACCAAAACGTGCTTATTCTGATTTTGTTCTCTGCATCACATCACAGAGAAGTTTGGGAAAGTGCTGGGAGAATTTGGAGCAAGCACAACTTCACATTTAAGAGCATCTCTGAAAGGTTGAGTCTTTCTGAATCAAAAATGGTTGCAATTCCACAGTGAAAGACTCTTAGGAATAGCATGTCCAAAATATTCTAAAGATTCAGACTAATTGGTTTGCAACGTACAAGACTGAAATCTAGTATTCATTGAATGGGATCTTCACGCCCTCAGGCACTGTTAAAAGTTTAACACAATAAGGAACCATTAGTGTGTGCATGGCTCCAGTTTCAGTTTCCAAACTGGCCCGAATGCGGTCCAGAGATATTTCACCTGGACAAGTATGACTATAATTCTCCTCTTTTCCAAACTTTTCTGAACAGAGAGGTGATGCTGCACTGGCTGTCATGAAATGTACAGCGTGAGCAGCTGTCCGCTGAGGCATGTCTTACATCCAGACCCTCACAGGTGCAGCCGCTGAAGTAAATAAGGACAATGCAAGGCCGTCTGCAGAGAAGAGAAACGGTCTGCACAATGCAATTTGTACAGGAGCACGCACATAGTTCTTCTGAGTTCAAATGAATGATTAGCCCCGTTACAAAAATAAATAAGAAATAAAAAAACTTTCTCTGGCTATATTCAGCATTTACCCTAATGATGAAGGCAATGCAGCATAAGCGTGACTCCATGCTCTGAACTATAGCAACACCTGTGTATTTTCTCAGCTGTAAAACACACACTGTCTCAGCTGAAAACTCAGATTATTCACAGCAAAAGAGAATCAAATCCACTGGCTGGAGCCACGTTGATTAGAAGGCTGTAAATCTTTGGATTTGGGACAGTGTTGCATTGTTTTCAGGGCATTGTGTGGCCTCAAATGCTTGTTCATTATTTTCTGGTGCGGGATCATTCGTATTCCGTTGAGGTCAAAATCCGCAGCAGTGGGCGGAGAATTAATATTTGATGCCGACTGAAGGTATGATGTGTTTTCATCAAGCAGGAGAGAAGCAGGCCATGACTGACCAGGGAAATATGTCCGCTATTGTGATGACATGGACTAGGCGATGTAGATTTTTTCAGATATAGTGGTTTGAGAACCCATTTAAACACGGACTAAAGCCATTCCTTAGATCTGAAAAGTAAAGTGTGGAGACAGAGGGATCGAACTGGCATATACCAAATATATATACAGTATATACCTAATATGCCCGAATACTAGCTGGGAAGACCATATCCACCCATCTGCCTTAAAAAAAAGACAAAAAAATAATATTATTTCCCATTTAAGTGTCAATAAAGCTGAAGATAAACCTGTCTGAAAGATTAGGCAGGGCGTGACATTTTATGGTAGTACATGGATGTGTAACGGATTATTTCTACATCATCTTGGTTGTACTTTTACACTTATACGTATAATCAGTTATTTCTTCCCTTGTTTTTTTTTGTGACAGCCCTGATTCTCGACATCATGACAGTGGCTGGACTCCAGAGACTGGTTAAGCGGAGGGGCCCCTGGGAGATGACGCCAGGCTTCCTGGACTGCATCGCCATGGACGTGTACTCCTTCCCCGCCGCCCACGCCAGCCGGGGCGCCATGGTCTCCAAGTTTCTGCTGTCCCATCTCGTTCTGGCCGTGCCGCTTCGCATCCTGCTGGTGCTGTGGGCGTTCCTGGTGGGCATGTCCCAGGTGGTCCTGGGGAAGCATCACCTGACGGATATGGTGTGTGGCTTCGCACTGGGCATGCTCCACTTCAGCTTGATGGAGTCGGTGTGGCTGTCATCGAACACTTGCCAGGCTCTTATTTCCATAAGCACGCTCAGCTGGAGCCCCCTTTTCTAAGCTTTTGATATGTGGCTTTGCTAAGCTTTATTTGATACTCCAACCTTACAATATGACACATTTTGGTAGGGTTTTGCGATGTATTTTTCATAAGAGTCGGGCCGTGAACAAACACTATTGTGTGGATGGAGAAGCTGAATTGCATGCAGCACATGAAATAAGCAGACACCAGGACCCTTACGACTTCATGCAGCTTTACAGGTTCTACTGTCACACACCTCTACAGCAGCTTGGTTTCACTTAGCGATTAAAGCGAAAGAAATAAGACAGCTCGGTGCTCATTGAAAGTGTACATGAATTATTTGCTTGTGATATTTCACAAGAGAAAAAAAAGGTTTCATCAATTTATATATCAACATCTATTTCTTTAGAACTTGTAGTTTCATTCAGTCGCTTTTTATTATTTGGCCTTAAATAAACTTTTATTTTTCCTTTGATTTTGGGCAGGAAAATTGTTGAAAAAACTAAATAGAGTTTGATAATAAGTTGTGGTCTCACCATAACACATAGAGTTACTGGCTGTTGATAGTCTGCTTCATTAGTCAGCCAAAGTGACAATACTGTTTTGTTCATTTCATCCAGTCTGTTTTTAAAGGGGTTTCTGTTCCTTTAAATATATGATATGTCATACATCATCTCTGTAACCTTATTTCTTGGTGCAGTTAAATTTAGCTGTCTATGCACAACAAACTGCTACAGAGCTCCACATTTGTTTTCATATAGGGTCAATACACTTCCCTTCTGCAGAAATGTGCCATCTCTGCAGATTTTTCTTTGCCTCCTCCATTTCAGGCCTCTCCAGGCTGTATGTTTGCCTTATAATTTGTCTTTGTACTTCACCTCACTATATGTGCCTCACAAACATATTTGACCCCTCAGTTGGAAGATATGGTTTACAGTAGAAGCTGCATAGTTTCTTTTCTTTGTCTGTTCTTTCTCTTTTTTGTGGCAAACTGTTTCCGTGCATTCGAATGGTGCAGATACAATTTACTGTCCATGAGTTGGCTTTATTTTGTACCGGGATCTGTATGTATATTATGTTTTTACTTTGTTGCATCGTCTCATAAATAAAACCAGGCAGACAGTTACATTTCTGGGTGTTTTTATTCTTGGGTACGACACTAGGAAGGTCTTTTATTATTGTTGCTGGTTGAAATTGATAACCACCTGTACATGTGCCAGTAATAGGAGACTTTAAAAGTACCTTTTTTAGAAATCGGTGTGCTAAGCAGCACAAGAAAACACCAAAATTAAACTAAACTTGATTTTTTCAAATCAGCTGCATAAATAATGTAGCTCAACCATCTATTTATGAGGCAAATTTCCCACAGCCTGTTATTTTGACTGCTCCTGACATCACATGGGCTGCAAAGCATCACATGGTGCTCAACAGAGTCAGCAGAAGAATGAAGAAGTGTGGTCTGTTGAAATCCCAAGTGATTAATCAAGCCATGGTTTTGTTTTTATAAGTTATAATATTCCAGGGTACATTTGGTATTGGATTCAGTTTGTTTTTTCCTATTAAAATGAATGCAATCCATCTGACACTTTGGACAGTAAAAGAACTTTACAACATTACAACAAAAACTTTCTCTGTGCAGTTTGAAAAGTTAATCGACTTTAATCAACTGCCAGAGTTTCAGTCTAAATCTGATTTCACACTCGTCTTGGCAAGAGAAATCTGACAGGAAACCAAACCAACGCACTGCCACGTGATGTGAAATGCTTCTAACTGGAGGAAGTGAAAGTGCTTTAAAGATGCTCTGGTTGGTGAAGTTTTAGATAAGAAACATACCCAGCTGGCCAGTTTAGTTATTCATTAAAATAAGTCAGAACATTTCTGAGGGAGATTGTAAGCAAATCTATATAAAGCGTTAAGAAGAAGTAGCACAAGACATAAACCAGAATATGTTCAATTTATACATTATTTGGTCGCCAAATGATGATTCCTCATGCTTGAAACCAGTTTGAAATACACACTGAAACAGAACAAGGCAGTAAGGGACTGCTATCCACGCACAGCACACTAGCAGACTGCAAAGAGATAATGTTTCATCTATTCAAACCCTCTTAAAACGGTTGTAAAGCTGAGTTCAACCTGGATCTTTCGTGTCCTAAAAGTAGCAGAATATCACACCTTGTCCTGTGAAAGGACTGTTTGATTTTTTTTCTTTTTTTCCCTCTAAAATCAAGGCCTCTACCCTTGCATAGCATGTTCCCAAAATATGCCTGTGAGCAAAAGCTGATAGCGCTGCGGACTGTTTCTACTAAACCTGAGCACTCAGAGCCAAGAGACCCCACAAGTCCAGCTGTTGAGTCTTCAGCCTCAGTTAGTTATGAATAAGTTGGGGTAAAATTAGACACCACAATCTTCTGTGCGTCTCACCTCTGTGGGTGCGGCCGAAATGTTTCTCTGAACATCTTCTAAAACTAAGACACTTGGGTGTTTATCGGAGGTTTTTGTCATGCTTCCCTGCACTTTTGGACATGTATCACAAGTATAGCAGAGTTTATTGTGATAAATAAGCTGTGAAAGTCTTGCAGGGCAACAGAATCTTTTTAAATGGAAGCTGTTGAGTATTTTGCAGATGTATTCAAAACGGAAATGGTTGGAAAAGTGCGCCCTCTCGTGGATTCCGCAACAGGCTGCCTCAGAAAACAGATGAGTACAGACTCTTGATTCCTGTTTCGGTTTTTAGAATGGCTTTAAGTCTTACAGTGTGGCGCCTTCCCTCAGTGTTGTACAGTGGGCATTAACATAAAAACATTCACTATGACAAGCACTGAAAGACTGAATAATGCGAGGAAAACACCACAACTATATCAGTGGAGCATTTTCATGTTTCAGACAGAAGAAACCAGCCATCCAACAATATAATGCTACTAATACTGTTAGTTTCTTTGACAGTCCAGACATGTCTTTTTTTAAATCTCATTACTTAACATAGAAAACAATAAAATAATATATTATCAAGAGACTAATGTTTATTGACTTCAGTTTGTTTGTCTGGTGAAGCTCTGATTATTTGGAGAATTCCATAAAAATTGGCGCCATTATGAATCACATGTACTTTGTTCCCCTCTATCAAAGTTAGAATTTTAAGGTTTTATTGCACTGGCATTCGTAAAGGTTTTTTTATAAGTAATAGTCATAAATAAACGAATAATGAACTTGTCATGGAGGGTCCGGGCGATGCTTTTCGAAAATCAACCAGCAGGAGGCGATGATCCCTTTTGCTTGGCCACCATCTTTTGGTGACGTATGACGCTGTGAGCCGAGCCGAGCCAGCCTACACACTGCCCTGCTCATTCTCAGGCCGGGTAAGACCCCAGCAACAACCCAGCTATCGTGTCAACATACGAAGATTTGGCTTCACAATCGCAATCCATCCTCTGAATAGGCAACATTTTGTGGAATTATATCACTATAACTGATCAGAAGACACTCTTAAGTTGTTGAATCCGGTGAGTCATCAGTGCGGGACTGTGTCAAATCTTCTGTTTTGCTTATCTTCTCCGCTGCCCGTTTTTATTGTTGCTTTGTTCTGGGCAGCAGCCATTTTTAATCGCCTTGTCCTACATTCCCGTCGCTATATTCAGCCCGTTCATAAAACCAAGCAAGGTTGAAAATGATGACACTGACATAAGCGTTTAGATGTTTCCGTATAACATACGTGTTTTATAAAGTAACCGCAAATTTAAATGCACTGACAAGCGTTTGGCCCGCGTAGGTCGTTTTTGTAACTGGAAGTTTAACGGGATTGCCGTCTCGCTAGTTTTCCATCAAGCCTCGACTGTGGAGGCAGTTAGCTAATACCAAATTCCGGCAATTGCTCGATTGCATCTGCTTGAATATCTAAGAAAACTAAATATATGTTTTTCAGGTGTCAAAAATGCTGAAAGGACGTATCTTTAGCTCTGAACATCTGCGCAGGACATGTACTCGTTAGCATTAGATGTTTACATAGCGAATTTGGATTAGCCACCAGTTAGCATATAAACCAGTGTTGTTTTGTAACTACATCCAGGAATTAACCAGGCACTGTCGACCAAGCTTATTGAAAATATCTTTATAGTGATTAAAACAGTACAGCGGCCACACCCTTTTAAGTCTTTCTCGATTAAACGGTCTGTTTTTGTTTTCGTGCAGCAAAGTGACAGTCAATTTCATGTGCTAGAATTAGCGCCAATGCTAGCTTTGTAACGAAGCTAATAAAAGGTCAAGAATTAATTTACTGTGACGCTGTTAAGATTTTGATCTTGACTTTGAGGACTAATTCCATGGTTATTAGTCCTGTAAGTTTGCTTTGTGTTGAAATAGCTCAAAACCTAAATTACATAAAGAAGATTTGATGCTTTATCTGTCATGATTAGCTTACTAATTAGACCTTCCTTTTAAAATTAATTCTGTTCTGTACCTTGATAACAAAAGACACATGTACACACACCCTTGTAGAGACTATTTGTCCGATTGATGTCCCAGTGAAATGCCAACTAATATGTTATGGATGGAAGGATTTTTTTTTTTTTGTTACTGCACAATTTCCCATGATGTGTTGAGATTTTCTTGGGTTTGTAAGCCAACAATTGACTCCTGGTGAAGTGTTTTTACAATGATAGAGAACTGTTTAAAAGGGAATTTGTAATAACAGTTTGAAAATGATTAGATTTTGAAAACATGACAGACCCAGTATGTAATTAAATTTTCTCTGTTGTTAGTGTGTAAATGAATTTGATTGAATTTACTGCATGTGAGTGTACATGTCTTATCATTGTCTGTTTCTTTTATTTCTAACCAAGTCCAAAACTCTATAAGTGGACTAAAATTATTATTATTATGCTTTATGCAAAACATTCAGGTTTAAAGATGAAATGGAATAAAATCAGGGTGATGTGATGTTAATACATCTGTGTGGACAGCATTAGTTGCATCAGTTAAGCATATTGCCAGATGTCTGGGTGTTGTATAACAACGAAGTTTGGAAGTGGCTGTGTTTCAACTTAACATTGTAGGTGCAGACATAGATATATTAAGTTCATGTATATGGAAATAAATGCTGAAAATGATTTAGTAAAACGTTGTTTCTCCTCACTTCCAATATATGAAAAAAGGGGAATTCAGTTTTAAGATATGGCCTCTTGTTTCCTTTTTTTGTTAGGCAGAGTGGCAAATACCTAAAAATCTATATTTACCATTTGTGGATGTTAGATACCTCTCTATGATAAATTACACGTGCCCCAGCTAAAGTATAAATAGTTTTATCCCTTAGTAGTGCCTTGGCTGATCATTTTATTTTCTTCCTTTTTTGTAGAATCAGAAGGCACTGGGAAAAGGCGCAGAGAAAAATTTTCATACTCGATGACATTACATCGCAATGTCCGATCGTTTGGGGCAAATAACCAAGTCCAAGGATGGGAAAAGCAAGTATTCCTCACTCAGCCTATTTGACAAGTACAAGGGAAAATCAATAGAAACTCAGAAAAATACAGGTATGGTTGTTTTTTTTTTTTTGTTATTAATGTATTGCTATATAAATTAGGACCATCTTTATTCACTGGCGTCACTGTGTTTCTTTATTACTCCCAGCAGTTCCACGACATGGCTTGCAGAGTCTTGGCAAAGTGGCCGCAGCCCGGCGCATGCCCCCACCTGCTCACCTACCGAGCTTGAAGTCTGAAAACAAAGGAAACGATCCCAACGTGATTATTGTGCCCAAAGACGGTACAGGATGGGCGAACAAGCAGGAACAACCCGATCAAAAGAAGTATGGCAAAAAGTTTTTAAAAAACCTCATTTGATTTTGGCTCTGTTTAATCAACTCTTTTACTTTTCATTAGTGTTTTTTTCCCTTGAGAGGAAAAATATATTCAGCTTCTTGTGTTTGTGGTTTTTCGGAAATAGTTTGTGTAAACTACTTTACTACACAGTGTGAAAAAAGAGATTTGTTTCCTGGGAAACCACCTTACATTTACAACTCAAAACATTCAGGACAAAGTTTATGGATGAAATGGAGCTTTGAATTTGATAGCTGTCAGCTGTTAACCAGACCCATTTCATCAAAGGAAGTTGGTCTAGAATGTTGTATTCCTCTGCAGTGAATCAGTCACGGTTTCCTTTTTCCTCTGTTATCTTGTAGTTCTATTGCATCAATAACACAGCTGCCGGAGTTGCAGCCACCGCTGGCTTTACCGAAATCTGTCTCCAATCTTCAGAAGCCCTCACCAGTAGCCAGTCAGGAGGTGTGTATGTTTTCTTGTGGTTTTGTTAAACTTGAAGCATTTTCTTTTTAGTGTAACCGCTGCCTTTGACTTGTGGCCCTTATGTTAATCTTCAATTTTCAGTAAATTCAGAAAGTAATTTTTCTGCATAAATACTCGCATTTCAGGATAGACAAGGAAGGTAGTCTGTATGTGGACTTTATATTCAATATTTGTTTGTAATGGCTGCAAAGTTGATGTTGGAATGTGACTTTAATAAAAATAAAAATAAATTCCACAGAACACAAACACAGGTGGACCAAAGCAATGGGCCCAGGTAAATGGAAGGGCAGTCGAGAAAGATGGTGAGTCACCTCGGATTAATTTATCATTCATTTACAATGACTTGTTTATAAACAGGTCAGTCACCAGCTGTCAGGCAACTACATCAAATTATACAATCCAAGTTTAAGTGCTTATGAAGTTTGACAATAAATAAATAAATAAATAGACTGAAACAGCTGTTACTGTAGATTCCTTTACCTTTGCTTAACCTTTTTCCATGAAAACAGGTTCAAGGGCCTCAAACCGACTTCAGCCCTTCTCTCACGAGGAATTTCCCACGCTGAAAGCGGCTGGAGAACAGGACAGGGCTGGCAAGGAAAGAAGCGGCTTCGATCCGTCGTATGGGCCCGGACCAAGCCTCCGCCCCCAGAGTAAGCTCTGCTCCTTCCCACTTTTCAGGAACTGGCTGGTAGCAAGATGAGTTGACTGGTGTTTTGTTAAAAAAGAAGAAAGAAAGACTTAAACAAAAAATTGACAGTCTGGAAGCAAACTGTTAAAATGTGTCAGTGACAAACTGAAGCAAAGAACGGGCCAGTTATCTACATGCATGTTGGAACACCAAAGGAAAAGCCCAAAATGCTGATCTTGTGGCTAAGAGAGATGTCAGGAAGTATTTATGAAACATGACAAATATGAGAGACAGCATTGTACATGTTCTTTCAGGGAAGGAGGGGAAACTGCCACATACTTTTCCTTCCAACCAGCGCTGTAGAGCATGTGTCCTGAAGCTAATTACAAACCACAACAACTTTGATTGCAAAGTATTGTGTCTAAGCAGTCCGAGAACCAGGTCTTTTGGGGAAATTTGGCTACATTGGAGTCAATACACTACGCTCCATCCAGCTCTCCCAAAAAATGAAATATATTAGCAATAAGGTTTATGGATACTTACAAAATTTGTTTGATTTTAAAATCCAAGTACTAACAAAATGAGGATAAAAAACAGTCCTTTGTAGTGAAACAAATCTTTGCTGGTTCTTTTGAAGATGTGACGAGCTGGAGGGAAGGTGGTGGCAGGAACCTTCAGCCCTCATCCCTCACCCTCAGCCTCCCAGTGGATGCTGAGGGTAAGCTCACTGCCCTGGGAGAGTCTGGCACCCCTCCAGCCTCATCTCACCCTTCCTCTGCCACCGTCACCACGACGTCAAGTGTGGTGACCAGTCAGTCACCAGGCCCTGACCCAAAAGAGCCTTCCCTCCGCCCCACCCAGCCTGTGCGCAGAACAACCGTCCCTACTGCTCTGCAGTACCAGCTTCACCACACTTCAAATGCTGTCTACCACGACATGCTGCCTGCATTCGTAAGTAGTCATTTGTTGACAGGTCGTCTGATCGAAGGGGAAACCAAATAAACGGCTTTATTCTGTGTGATCCTGCTGTTTTCAGATGTGCTCTAAAGAGACTCGTGAAGCTACAGGTGCAGACAGTGTTCCCACCACTGTAGCAGCCCCAGCGCGATTCGAAAGCAAACCCACTTTTAGGCAAAGCTACGCTAAACCTGAACTTGTAAAGTAAGTACATTTGGAATGTCCTAATAAATGCTGATAATTAGGCAGCAGCAGGAACCTTCCAGATGCTGATTTTCGGTTAATTCTGTGATTGCAGTGGAGATGCAAGAAGAGAAAACCGCTTTGTGCGTGCTCCTGCTCGACCTTCTTCCCAGCCCATCCGTAGGCCTGGTGAGAGACCCCAACGCCCAGCCATTATTAATCCAGAAGATTTGAAGGATCTGGATGACCTTGATAATGACTGTGAGGATGGATGGGCTGGTCAGTATTTCTTATGTTGGTTGGATTTGATTTTTTAAATATGATTTCTTATATTGATGCTAACCCCAAAAAAGCAGATTTGTATTAATTTCCTATTTCTTTCAATAAATTCAGCTTAAATAAAAATGTGCAACTTTATTATTGGCCTGCTCTGATGCCATAATGTTCTCATATGTCAAGAGCATTAACTCAGAATGTAAGTCAAAGAAGATGATAAAATGCATCCTGCTTCACATACAAATACAGGCTCCTGTTTCAAATCAATTTAATTTAGAAATTTAATAGTTTTTATATTTGTATAACCCTTGATTTGTAATGTAACGACAAAGCACTGTTTCACCTGCTGAAATAAGTGGACTTTTTATCACTGCATCATCTTGATTGTTAATCGCTGTCCTCCCCTCTTTCCACAGGACTTCATGAGGAAGTTGATTATAGTGAGAAGCTCAAGTTCAGTGATGATGAAGATGAACATTCTACAAGTGATAAAAACAGGATGTGGTAAGAGTTTTTTCTTCATTGCTGCACTTCTTCACTTACAATATTCTCATACAAAGGTATTCAAGTTTAACTGTTTCTTAATAGGGCTCAGTGGGAGAGAGAGAACCACCGGGACGGCCTGTCCTCCCTTAGTTTAGGCGAGACGTCTTACCCCCAGGACGGCCCCGAAGACAGTTATCTCTACCAACATCACCACCTTGAGCTTTCCCGGAAACCCAATAGCAGATACCTCTCTGGGGAAAGTCAGGTAACTCCACAACCTGCAGTGTTTTCCTTCTTTGATGCCTCACTTTTGAGGTTTCTTTTTGATTTCTACTATTTTACATCTGTCAAAGATTGGTGCACAACTACTTAGCAAACAAACTGCAGTATGCTTCAGAATTCCCTTAAGTGAGGCTGTCATTGTGAATTGAGGAAGATGACCTTGCAGTAACCATAGCAATATGTTTTTAACCACGTTTTCCTTGCCACGTCTTTGCTTACTGTCTGAAAAATTAACATCTCTGTTAAACCTTTAGGTCCAGCAGAAAAGCCACAGTGACCCCGCGGCTGAGCATGACGATCACCGACAGTCTCAGAATCCGGCGCCAGCTCGGGCTAAGTATGTGTCGCCTGAGCTGTCCGAAGCTGTTGAGCGAGCCCGCAGACGGCGCGAAGAGGAAGAGAGACGTGCCCGTGAGGAACGGCTGGCTGCGTGTGCTGAAAAACTCAAAAAGCTGGATGAAAAGTTTGGGAAGACTGAAAGGCAGACATCACGAACAGATGATAGTCCAAAGGAGGTGGAAGGCAAAAGAGCTCCAATGTCCCCCAACAGAGAACAGAGCAAAGGTCAACATGATAACTGGCAGTACAGCACTAAAGGTACCAGTAAAATCATTTTTGGTTTAAAACCACCATATTGAACATAAAATAGAAAAATGCTTTATTTTTTTGTGATCGTATTTGTTCTAGAAGGAAGTGAGTGTCTGCCAGACAACTCCCCTGGCCATAGTTACCAGGAAGAGCTGGGCTTCTCCACCCAACGCAGTAGTGAGGATGATGGTCAGGAGCCCTCTTCCCCCCCGGGTGACTATAATGGACGTCATCCTTCCAAACCACTCCCACCCCGCTTCCAGAAACAGTCGCAGCACCACCACCAGCAGCAGCAGGTGAGACATTTGTTTGAACTGAGCTTTTTTATCCAAAAGCTCAAGCAGGGATTTCAACATAAGAGGAAAATCGTTCAACCATGTGAACCCAGTTGTCTTTGTTTAGATCATTCTGGTTTTATTTCTAGCCAGCTTATAACCAATCATCATCTTATTTCATCCTCTCTTTAGGAGCAAGTGCTCAAGTTGCAGCATTGGCAACAGCCAGGTCATCCTACTTCATCCAGCTCCAGCCATGCCCAGCGGGGCTATTATCCCCCTCATGTCCTTGGCTTTGATCCCCGCTGGATGATGATGCCACCTTTCATGGATCCCCGTATGACCCAAGGACGATCTCCTGTGGACTACTACCCCGCTTCTGTTCACTCTTCAGGTAAACACTGAAGCCATGCCTCCAAAGAAGAGCTAACCGCAACACCCTCTGTCACATAACTGAGCTAGCTGTAGATCTCTGAGGTTTACACAAATATAACAGATATAAACAAATGTTGTTTAAGCAAATTCTTCAAACAAATATAAATTAAACTGAAACTTGCTTTTGGGTAGCATACAAATGTGCAAGAATATTTTTTATAGCCGTCTGAGCAGACATCTGTGTATCCTGAAATTTCCAGTTTCCATTTTAACCATTACGATTTTTCTTTTTTAGGAATGGTAAAACCTATCATGCATCCAGACCAGCTGAACAGTCCTGGCTCAGATGATGGTTGCCATTCCAGCCATCACCAAGAAAGGCGAGCCCCCTCTACAGATCCATACCCGGTGTGGAACCAGGACGGCTACCCATTGCGCAGCTTCACTCCACCTTACCAGAGACAGCATGAAGCTTCAGATAATGGCCAGCCTGGTGATAGGTCAGTTACGCAGACTTATTGAAAGGGGAAACATTTTAGAGTTTCCTCTGAAAATGTCGACATTTTTTTTATATTTACAGAATGGAACAGTGTAACATTTTAGATGCCTATATGTTTTTCAGCCCTCTGCTTTCTTTTTCTTATTTCCACAGAGGTGACGTGCCCTCTTCTCAACAGGATGCTTATGAAGATAGATCCAGTGAGTGCTTGACACACACAGCGGATGATCTCCACCATCATGCTTACCAGAGCCGGGGATCAGACAAGGAACACCATGACCAAGGCCTGCTGACCACTGCTCAGAACCTTTGTCAACATCTCTCAGAGGGTGATTACACAAAACAAGACTCAAGGGACAAGCACCAGAATGACAGTCCTGATTCTCACAATGACACTTTGGAGGGCTCCAAAGACAGCTGGAAAAGAGATGGAAGCCAGAAACAAGATGGAGGACTCATTAATTCCCAGAGCCAATGGTCTGAGGTCAGTTCCAGTTCCAGCAGCAGTGTCAGTCAGCCATCTGAGACCAGTGGACGGACTTTGACCCGCAGAACTGGTCCCATCAAGAAACCAGTTCTTAAAGCTCTCAAAGTAGAAGAAAAAGAGAATGAAAAACCTAAGTCGGAACCTGAGGAGAAGCCTGTTCCCTACCGCTTGGAGAAAGAAGTCCTTACTAATGTTTATGACTTGAAGAAAGATAACCAGCCTCCCAGCAATAGGCGCTCAGCCTCCCCTGTTGTTGAGAAGCAGGTTGAGGAGAGACGTCAGTCGCCAGCCCCCAGCAAAACTGACAGGCCTCTAAGCACCCACAGTGATGAGTTTCCCAGAGAAAGCACCTGGGGTAGCAGCAAGAGCCAGTCATCCAGGGACAGCGTTGAAAGTCGAGAAGCCCAGGCACCCCGGCGCAATAACTGGATCTTCATTGATGAAGAGCAGGCCTTCGGTGCAGTCAGGGGTACAGGCAGAGGCCGCGGCAGGGGCTTCAGAGAATTTAGCTCCAGAGGTGGAACCCGTGGTGGCCGTGGTGGAGATACTCTGAGAGGTGCATATAATAACAATACCAGTAGTGCCGCTCAGCGGGGGGGTAGAGGACGGGCACCACCCAGGGACCTGGTTAAGGTTGAGGAGTTCCAGAGGGGCAAACCCCGCAGACGCAATGTCAGCGAGACCTTGAGTGAAGCCTCGGAATACGAGGAGCTTCCTAAGAGACGGCGTCAGAAGGGAACAGAGAACGGAGAGGGGTGCACAGAGTCTGGAGAAGTCCGTAAGGCTGATAGAGACTCCTGGAGATCTAACAAGGTCTACATGGATGACCAGACAGCTCCAGATCCCAGAGAAAAGAATAAGGCCGGCAGGAGTTTTGGAGGTCGAGTTCTGCCTCCCAGGCTGAACACTGCTGGTAGCTACAGCCGAGGCTTTGGAGGATCCAGGGACATTTCCACATGGAGGGGCCGTGGGCAACAGTACAGCAGCAACAGTGGTCCCATGCAAGAAAACGGTTATGGCCCTGGAGCTGATGCTACTTACTCCCACAGACCTGCAGTTGACCGTGATTCTCTTAAGTACGCTCCCAAGTTTACGGTAACGTTTATGGAAAACGGCAGTGAGGACCGTGAAGGGGAATACTACTTTGAGAGTGACAACCCCGACAGGCAGATGTTAAGAAGACGTCGTCCTCCACGTCAAGACAAGCCACCTCGTTTCCGCCGTCTGCAGCAAGAGAGAGAACCCGGTTCCAACCAGTGGACAAGTGACGAGTACATAAATGGGGATTTTGCCAATCCCTGGACAGGTCGTCCCAAAAGCAGCGCGGACGACAACTGGCCCAGCGGCCACTACTCGGGACGCTCCGGTCAGCATGGTCAAACTGAGGAATGGGAAACAGGATCCGATAATAGTGACTTTGCTGACTGGAGAGAAAAGCGAGGTGGTGGAGGCATGCCTGCACAGGGACATGGCGACATTCCCTCAGACTCTGGCCAATGTGAACCTGGCAGTGGCGAGAAGAGGGAACTTTCCAAAAGAAGCTTTTCCAGCCAGAGACCTCTGGTGGAGCGGCAAAATAGGAAGGGAGAGCCGTCACTGTTGGAAGCAAGCAAGATAGTGCGCACACCTGATAATCCCCCTACTTCGTCATCCAACAGAAGCGATAATTGGCAGAATGGAGGGACATCTTGTAAAAGGTACGGTGACAAATAGAGCATAATAATATTAACACCATGCCTAATGTAGGTTAACTCTCTGTTCTCATTTTTCACTTTTTACAAATGTGCCCAATTATAACACCTTTCTTTTGCATCATTCTGTTTCCAGCAGGAGTCCAGATGAGTCTGGCTCTGTTTATGGCATAGAGCCATCACCAGAGGACATGGAGCCCAATGAGACCTCAGGGAAGAAATCTGACAAGGAGCAGAAGACGGGGACTGTCAAGACTGACATCGATGAGCCTCTTTCCCAGTATGAGCTCACCAGCTTTACAAGTAAGCCCAGTTCATTTTATTTTTAATCAGCTATTGTTGCTTTAAAGATGAAGCAAACAATTCAAATGGAAAACATTCCTGGACTATTCATGCTGTAGTCTGTAGTTTTAGTGTGGACTCTATCTCTGAGGTCTGTTAATGGTGCATGTTGTGATGTTGGCTCATACGTTCCCAAGGCTTTTCAAAGTAAAGTTAGCCTTCTGGATAGAATGGGTCAAAAGTCACGTTCTTCTCAGTTTTAGAAAAAAATCATTTCTGTAACCTTTGTCGGTTACTGTACACGCATAAGGTGACAAGTTTTTTTTTGTAGTTGAAGGAGACACTGGTTCAAATCCAGATGGATACCAGGATGCTTTGTCCAAAAAGCAAAGACGCCCACAGGATGATGACAGAAGGAGGAAAGAACAAGGAACTGCTGTAAGTCACACTTTTTCAATCTGTATTCTTTTTAACTGATGTCCCACCAATTCTTTAAAACTGATTACAATTTGTTTATATATCAGGGAATTTCTTATTAAATCAGTATTTTGCTCACTATTTTGTAAGGTTCTTTTTGTACCAGTTGATTCTATTAGCATTGTTGTTCACATCTGTTCCTGCTCACTGTTTTAAAGAATTTCACCTTCAGCTGTGACCATAAATCTATGGTATTATTCTGAGTGGATTAATCAAATCCAGGTTTATGTGTTCTGAGAGTGTTGTTGTAAGCCATTTTACTTTAGATTGATGGCCTATTTCCATTTTGCTATTTACTTTTCATCTATCTCTATTACAGTTATCCAATGAAACATTAATGGAAAAACTATAATGTTAATCTGTAAAAAACAAAAAAAACAAAAAAAACAAGTGTTCTGGATATGTAAATGCTGTGTAATTTAATGGAATAGGAGTGGAAGAAAATGTCTCAGAGGGTCACTGTAACCAGATAAACAGCAGCAATATTGCATCTTCTTCTGTTTTACATTAGGAATGGCTTTTCATATTGGCAAATATGGCAATTTTCCAATAAAGAAAAATTAAGATATCCGTTAGTCAAATCAGCTGAGTCAATTGGTTTGGCTTACCTGATATCACCAAGAAATGAATAATCAATGTTATGCAATAACCTTTTCCTCCACCTGCATCAGGTGTCTGTCAAAAACAGGACACTTGCATCCAAAATACCTCCACGCTTTGCAAAAAAGCAGGGCAGCATGAGTTGTGAGCCTGAGGAAGCAATTTCTTCCTCCAACAATCTGGGAACTGAAATCTGGGAGACCAACAGCTCAGGTACATTCTTTTGATTCAGAAAAGCAGATCCTTGTAACTTGAAATAGAGATGGTACATGCACTGCATATACTTGCATTGAGATGGGATGAATGTCTTTTTGTACTTTTCACAAATGATGTACGTGATTTCTCTCTTGTAGCTCTTTCAGTTCAGTCTTCAGCTGGAGACTCCTGGACTAAACAGGTGTCTTACACTGGAAGCGAACCCAACTCTGAGGTAGGTCCAAACCCTTGGGAGTTGCCATATCAACCTTATATATTACACAGCTTTAACATAATTATATGTGTAGTCATTATTTTTTCTTCTGTGCTTCCATTAGAAATATGAATAAATTCCATGGTCCTTAGCTATACTTTAGAGATTTGAACTTTTTCTATGTTGTGTTCAGGACTCAGACGCTGGCCCAGAACAGAGTAAGGAACAGCACAAGCCCGGGCCCATCGGGAATGAACGCTCTCTGAAGCACAGGAAGGGCTCAGAAGGTGTCGACAGGCTGGAAGGAGGCCCCATCACACCAGTCAACGGCGTGGACCTTCACGTGGATGCTGGATTGCCCGTGCCGCCCATCGAGTTTGGCGTCAGTGCCAAAGACTCTGATTTCAGCCTACCACCGGGCACCACTCCAGTGCCCGTATCCAATCCCGTTAAGCTTCAGGATGCACTTAATACCAACGTGAGCCACTTAATCTCAGCCTTTTTGGTATCTTGTTTGGAGCTGAAACTTTCCAAATTTGCCATACAAAAGAGTGATGAAAAACGGTTTAACAATAGTTGGTGAGTTTCTTGGATGACTGATTAATTGTAACTGACTTATTTTTCTTTTCCACAAAGACTTCGCTTAATCAGAGCATCCCTATTTTGCGCTCCAACCACCTGCAGCCGGGCATTAACCTCAACACCATCTCCTTCCCCAGCGCTGATCTCACTCTGAAGGTATTTGAATTTGTATTTGTGTACAAAAATCATTTTAATGTTGTTTAAGCGTGCAGACGACATTTACACATTTTCTTTCTCTGTTAGATGGAATCGGCACGCAAGGCATGGGAGAATTCCCAGTCCCTCCCTGAGCAAGGCTCCCCCGGTGGGGGGGCTTCAGGTGCTCAGCCTCCCTGCAGCACGGGTTCATCCACTGGTGTCAGCTACAGTTCTTTTGGAGTTTCTATGCCTCCAATGCCCGTCGCATCAGTGGCTCCTTCCATGTCAATGCAAGGTAGAATTACATTCTTCTCTCTCAGTTGGGTTCATTGCCGAATCCTGGAAAGCTAAAGGAAAAGCGTTTGTCCCTGTCCCAAACGTAGGAAATCCCATTCCTCCTCTGTATCTGGATGGTCACGTCTTTCAAAGCCAGCCGCGCCTCGTTCCTCCTATGACCCAGCAACAGACCTATCAACAGGTATGAAAATAAGCCTTAAAACACACACTGGCGTGTCCATCAGGATGTTTTTATAATGGTATGTGTTCTTTACCGTGCAGGCAGCGGCTGCTCAGCAGATTCCCATCTCGTTGCACACACACACATCTCTCCAGGCTCAGGCTCAGCTGGGGCTCCGGGGAGGTCTGCCTGTGTCTCAGTCCCAAGAAATGTTCAACTCCATGCCCCCTTTCCGGTACAGATTGCTACATTTTTGTGGAGTTCCCGGTGGTCGTATTAATGTGTACCACAAATAGTTGCCTTTTTCCTGTTTGACTCCACTGTTTTACATAATGCTCTGCTTCCGACTCCTTTCAGGTCCCAGGTTTACATGCACCCCAACTTGTCACAGCCCAACCCCATGGTGCTGTCTGGTGGGGCCCCTCTCAAAGGCCCTTACTCTGCCTTCCCCGGCATGCAGCCTTCAGACATGGTGAAACAACAGTCAGGCTCCCACTACCAGCCAATGAATGGCAGCCAGCAGCTGGTCTATGATAGCCAGATGAACCAGGGGCCTGGTTTGAGCTCCTCACAGCTGATGGACTCTCAGCTCATTCAGGTGAAGCTCAGTTTTATCATCACTAGAAACAGGGTTTCCACATTTAAATTCACTATAAATTGAAGTTCCTGGTTTTTATCCCATTATCATGGGATTGTTGGCATGTCCCGTAACAGTGTTTGTTTTATTTCACCAGGTTACTATGCCCCTGCCTGGCTCACAGCTGCGCTACGGCTCAGCCCAACAACATCTCATCCTCCCGCAGTCCATCCAGCTTCAACAGGGGCAGAACCTGTCGGTTGGAGCACCGCGTCGTATGCTGCCACCGGGCTCACAGCCAGCTGTCATGACTGGCAGCAGAGAGGTGAGCATCACATTCCCTGCTCCTTTTCTTGTGCTTTGTACTGGTTATACCATCTTCAATTATAATTTAAATAGACGGCCCACCATTGTCTGTTTCCCCATTCTCAGGGCTCACAGATGGAAATGAAAGGTTTCCAGTTCTCTGAGAAGGCCAATCATTCCCCTGGCTTATCTGGAGGTTCCTACAGGTGGGCGGAAGCTCAAACTGCACACAGTGCATCTGATTGTACCACAATTCTTAATTGATGAACACTAACTTAATCTTTGTCTTTTCTCTGCAGGCCTGGGTCTGCTAGTCCTAGTGGGAAGCCATCTGGTCCAGGAGGACCTGTTGGCCCACTGCCTGCACATTATACTCAGCAGGTGAGGTTTCTCATGAATATGGTGAGATGTTTTTAATTATTTCGTCATTTTTAGACTTGTGCCAAAACTCTAGGTTGCTGAAATTTTGAAGATAACGTGATGTAAGAAGTCCAGTCAATATATCTCTTAGTATTATGGTGTGTTCAGGACTGGTCAGTGGCCTGTATTAGCATAACGGAAGAACAGCTGGAATACACTACGTACACTAACAGAATAGAATTTGGAAATAAAACTAAAGAACTTGGACCAAGTCTGAAAATGCCAAAAAAAATTCAATACTTGCATGCTAATTATTTGTATTTAATTTATTTCCCCCCTGATCCCCCCACCTCCTCCTCTACCTGTCCCCTGACCAACAGGTCCCACCTGCCCAAGGCAGCATGGTAATGCACATGCGCCCCCCCACCACAGGCCCTTTCCCAAACCCTATCCAGAGACCTGTCATGCAGGTCAACAAGCCTGTCATCATCCGTTCTCCCCCTTACCCCAATCCTGGCCGTGACCCCTCCCACTCCACCCCTCCTTCGGTCCCTGAGCCCCCAGTCAAAGGGCCAGAGGATGGCATGAAGGTGAGCCACCCACTGTAAATATAGGTAATTTGATTTAATCAATTTTCTTCTATATTTGAAATTGTGTGTTTCTGTCTCTTTGACTTCAGATGTGTAGACAAGACATCAGCAAATAGATACTGAATAGATTTCCAAGTGATCTGACTAAGTATAGATTTATCGCATTGACACCATAATTAGTTGATTTCCGAAGGGAACTATGATGTGTTTTAGGAGTACTTTCATTTCCCCCCCTGTGTGTAATAGTAGTGATATCATTTTTATTGTCTAATGCTGATTTAGTTTGATTTAAATGTATTCTTTATTAATTTCTCCTTGCTTCTTCTTATAAAAATTTCAAATGCCAACATTTCACTAGTAAGTCCTGCAAATGCTTTCAGGAAATCTAGATACATCTCCTGAAAAAACATGAAATCATAAGGACAAATGCCTGAATCAGCAAATAAATTCAGCAAAAACTGTACATTGAAAGAAAAAAAAAATTGTTGTACCTGATAGTTTAATATCAGCTTTAGACCATCTGAGCTCTTAACGTGTGTGTTGCTTGTCCGGCCCCTTTGTAGCTGTTGGTAAGTCTTCCCTTTTCTTTGTGCAGAGTAAAGCTTTGCGAGAAGTGCGCAAGGCAGTGGGGGAGGGCAAATCCCCACCTGGGAGCATGTCCAGCAAACTCCAGGACCCCTTACCCTCCACAGGTCAAACCAAACCAGCACGCACTGGAGCCATCAAACCCCAGGCTGTCAAACTAGAAGAGGGCAAGGCATGACAATGGACCTTAGAATCCTCATCACCACCAAGCCTGCCAACACAAAGCTCCTTGACCAACCTCTGAGCCTTTTACCTATTCCAAGGCACCAAGGCAAGGGCCATACAATTCAGATATCATAATGAATTTACCCTTCTTGGACTTAAAGAACTGGACACTTCTTTCACACACGTATAGAGTTATATAAATATATATAAAGATATATATGCATACACACAGACCGTCTTTTAAGCAGATTTCTTCAAAGTCCTCTTTAATTTATTATTAGTCACTTTTAAGGGGAGATTGGTAAAGAAAAAGTGATATTTGTGTTGTGTTTTTCTTGCAAGTTTGAGAAAAGGAAAGAGGCCAACCCAGATGCTTAATTTTTCATACTGTTTTGCCAAACTGTATTTACTCCTTGTACATGGACTCAAGCCCTAAAGATCAGACAAGACACTTGATATAACTTACGATGACGCAAACTCTGTTTTTTCTTTTTAACAAATTTGAAATGCAGTGGGGCACTTTTGTCATTTTCTTTGGTATCATGCTGGTAAATAAAGGTTATAGTCATGACCACCCATTCAAGTCACTGGTGAAGGACTTATTTTATTAATCCAGAAATAAAAACAAACAAAAAAGAAACTAACTCTAGTTTTTGAACATTGTTGCATGTCCACATGGTCCACAAAGGTCAAGTGCGTCTCCCCAGAAATGGCTTACGCAGCAAAACTGAACTGTTGCAAGACAGCGTTGATGAATCAGAACTTTGTTTTTTCCAAACTCTTTGATTTTTTTCTCTTGCTCACTTATTCTCCTTGTAAATTCAACCCAAATGATGAACATTTACCAAAATCATGTTGCTTCCATGGGAACCTCACTGGCATTGACACGTGTGCATATGATGTGCTGGTCGTGTGTAAACTTGCAGGACTATTTAGACGCTAGCAGCATCTCACAGACTGCATCAGTGGTCCGTACGCTGACTTCAAAGTGTTTGGATTTTCTACCCAGCTGGCAACAGTTTGGGCTCATTGTAAAGTTTGGGGATGGGGACATAGCAGACCGTCAAATAGCTCAATGAAATGTTTGCTTTCTCAATGCTTTGCTTGGGTTGTAATGAATCAAAATGTTGATAACCTTGGTGTTTTTTTCTTGTTTTTTTTTTTTTGTTCTTTTGTTTAAAGCTCCTCGGAGAATACTCTAACTGAAAACCCACCTAACAATTCTGTGGAGAGTTAAAAGAGTTTGATTATTCAACAACTGGTCTCTTAAGTGGCACTAGCAATAATGCAGCCCAACTAGAATTACAACCAGGGTCCAAATGATTTATCTTTTTAGAGTTTAATTATTACAGATGAGGGGCACTTAGCACTTCGGGTTCGATTAAAAGTACAGTCTTTGGGGATTTTTTTTTTCTTCTTCCTGTTTGAGCACATCAGTTTCAGTGGACTACGAAGGACTTTCAAAGTGCTGCGTTTGAAAATGTCGAGCAGTTGGCGTCGTCGTTTTCTTTGAATGGACACTTCTTTTGAAACTCACAATACCAATGTCAGAACTGGTTAGATGTTTAGATGTTACCGCTTACTATAAAGCTCCATGACACTACAAAATGTTTATCTTTATGACAGTGTTTCACTGGTATGTGTATCTGCATTCTCAACTGTACAGTCCAGCCTTGTCAATGAGGAGAGGATTAAACCTACGTTTCATTTTTAGATATTGTGGCACTATAAAGGATTTAATGTGGGGAAAAAAGGTCACTGTCCTCAAAATGGACGGCTGTCACTCGTTGGTGGGTCTGTTGGACTTGGAGTGTTTTAGCCTCTTATCCTTTACTGCAGGACATGTAGATGCTTCTCATCATTGTATCTGCACCCAAATGTTGCCCTGACTTGTTTTTGTTTTCTTTTGTCACTTTTAAGATGCATATTTCATCTTTGTCAGAGGACCAGTGCTTTCTACGTCTGATCCAGCATACTGTTTTAATCCTACCTGACCTTTTATCCTTTCAGGTATTTGGTCATTACTCTTAACAAAAAAAAAGATGGAGAAAAAAAGCTTATGAAAGAAAAGAAATAAAGCAGTTGTGATTTCTCAAATGTACTGTTGATTCTGTATGCTCATCGTGGTGTTACTTTTTAAAACTTTTTGTGTGTGTGTGTGTGTAAAAGGCCAGAAATGTACAGAATCTCCAGCTGCAGACTGAAAAAAAAACAGAAAGATTTCACCTGCAGACAGTTTTTTTCTTAAAAAATCTGCCCTCATTGCTGTTAAAGTTTAATCATTTGATATTATTCATCTAATCTAAGCACATTTGGAGGCAACATTGTCCTGCTTTTGTTTGTTTCTATAGAAAATCATTAAATCTTGAACAGCAGTTGTGATGTCTGATGCTGTCAAATGTGAACAGTTTTAGATAAATAAAAATGGTGGGAATCAGAGTAAAATACACTATAAAAGCTTAATATTTTTGGATGAGTTATGCTTCATAAATTGTGTTCAGATTGAGTATTTGGAAGGAGGTTTTTTAGAAAGTGAATAATAAGGTACCTGAGGAGGCCGGGAGCTGTGACGTCAGAAACGCCATTCCCCAGATTTTTGTGGGACAAAGAGGCGATTCCAGGCGAGGAAGTTTTTTTTTTTTTTTATTTCCTTCGTGATAACAAACTGCTAAAGTTGCATCCTTCGCCGTTTGACACTTTTGCGAGTAACCCCGAGCGCCGTGAGCAACTTTCCAACAGATTTAACGAGGTAACTTCACTTTTGTTTACATTTTCCCGTCGGACGCGTCCGCCCCGCATCCACAGGCTAAGAGAGAAAACCGAAGAGTGCTTGCGGAAAACAACAATCCACATCAGAAGCATTAATAATTTATTTAAAAAACAAAACAATCAAAAGACCACAGTGGAATGTTTGTATATAGGATGTGTATACTGTATATATGTCACGGGTTTTTAGACAGTCAAGTACGACTAAAATAGAAGTCTTCAATCCGCCTATGAATGCCAGCTAAGGAAAAACAAACACATGAATAATATGTATTCATCAATCATCTGTATTTTTTCATTAGTGAGAAGTTGTAATCCAGTGTGATCACTGGTCGTGATCAGAGCAGAAAACGTGGCAGCCATTTTCCCGGAATCCAGCCAGCTCCTCTAGCTGAAGCCTTTTATTCTGTCTGTGAAGCAAATGAAACAGCAGTCACCTTGCTTTTTCTTGTTGATTCAATCATTGAATCACAATATGAAGTAAAAGTCTGGGTGTTCTCAGTGAGACAGTGTCCATGTTACTTTCAAATGGTTGAAAAGGATAAACATTGGGTCATATATATTTATCTAAAGTCTGATTTTAAATGTATGCACAATATGTTTCTCTACTAAGACACAAAAACAGTATGTTGGTGTACTAGATAGCAGATGTAATCATTTATATGAGATACACCTTTTTTATCTGATATGTGGACTACATGTAGGGTTTGGTAAGTTAGGCTTCTGTCATTTTATCTGCTGTCGTTGCTGTCAAAAACAGGGTTTTACGTAATTTTTTAAAAGAAAAAACGCTCTATCCTTATATGTCTAAACAAACATTAAAGGTTTTAAGGTTTGAATAACCGGTTGTGTACATGTTATTCATGAGTTTCATTATATTCCTACAGATGCAGCATCATTAGACTTGTCATTTTATTTTTTTCATTCATTTTCTATGAGAAGCAGATCAGGAGATGGCCACAAAACGCGCTGTCCGGCCAGATGAAGGCCTGCTGATGATGCAGGAGCTGGATGACCGACTGAAAGAGCAAATCGACAAGCTGGAGCATATTCGTCTGGCTTCTGTTGAACTGAAGGACAACCTTTCCGGGGTATGGAAGTCAGAACACTCTCTTACAATCACAAGAACAAAAAAGAAAAGTAGAACTTTTGTGACATGCTTTTTGTTCTTCTTCAGAGCAACGGAGATCTAACCCAGTCGATCGCTGACCATATGGAGTGGTTGAATCACTTGTCTGAGCGAGTGGAGACTCTTCACATAAACACAACTGTTTTCATTCAGGTGGATTATAATGCGTTTTACAATATGTACATATATATGTCTTCAGTCTTCATTCTGAAAGAAAAAGGCTGTAGGTTTTTTAATTTAAGTGTATGAGCAGCATCAGATAGTCTCTGTGTAAATGCACCAAACAAAGATCTCTGTATGGTACTCTGGCCTTACAACATAATTCTAATTGCAGATGAATCCCAAACCTCGCACATGGGCGGCCAGACAGGGTTCCAGACATGGATTCCGACGTCCTCACCAAGCAGATGATGCCCTGTCTGAGTTCGGCTGGTCCCCCATTCGTACACGACGCAACAGTGACGCTGCCTCTGAAATGTCCTGCAATTGGTGACCATGAAGCATGGTCAATGTTGATGCAAAGTGATGCCCACAAGGGAAAAAAGTCAGATTTTCTAATCTTGTCAGTATGTTACTCCTAATTATGTGTAAAATCATATTAACTTTATTAAAACCGTTTTTTTTATTTGCCACGCCTGGGCGTCTTTTGTTCTCTGTTAAGATAAAGCAACCTTGTTGTTTTGTAATAACCAGCTAAGAACAATTGTGTTTTTTTTCTCTCTCTGATGTAATCTGCGTAGAAAACGTGAAACGTCATTAAGAAGTGTCACGTGATCTGTGTTGAACGCGCCCAACCGCCAGAGGGCGCTGCTTAATATGTCATTTCACTGCTGAGCACACGGTTATAAATAAAGCTTTAGCAGAGCGCGTGGGTGATATTTCTGGAAGAAGCTGACTCGTTAAAGCAGCACTACCTTCTCTGAAACGTTTAACCCCCAATAGACAGAGTCCGAAACATATTGTGTAGATATTAAACATTACGGGTATTGAGTAAACCTTGGGAAATATGGCAGAAAGCGACTGGGATACAGTTACTGTCCTGAGGAAGAAGGGGCCCACCGCTGCCCAGGCCAAATCCAAGCAGGTTAGTATGAGCACATGAATTCGTTTGTTTGATTTTATACCAAGTCATTTTTCGTTTATCTTTAAACATATTTCACTCTTAGAGTTTAAGCAAACAGAACGGTATAATGTAGGCATGTTATCTATATGTGGAAGCAGTTCCTGTTCATAGTTGTAGCTTCATCTGTCGAGCAAACCTTGCCTTTACGACGTGGTTTAGGTTTTAATGACTGAAGATAAACACTTAGTTGATCTGTTTCTCCTCCTTACGTTGGGAAATAAGCAACGTGGATCAGTGGATTGAAATGACCGTTTGAAGCATTCGTGCTGCTTTAAAAACTGTTAGAAAATGGCTCGTTACGTTTCTGTAGCTTGGCTAACATGTTTGGCTAGCCAGCAGTGGCGTTCACGTACTGAAACCAAAAATATGTCTTTAGGAGTTTTGCAGCTAAACACCAAACCGAACACAAGTTAGCGATTTTTTTATACTTTAATATAAGGCAAACAACAACAACAACAAAAAAAACTCGACTTGTTTGGAGGAACATGATGCCATCATTTTGGGACAGTAATGGTTGACAATTTAGCTTAACATTACCCAAAGAATCCAATAACCTTCATGACGGTTAACTCTGTTCCGGTAGAAGAAGGGGGCCAACGTGATATTGTGGAGATGGAGGAAGAAATGTCTTCTTTTCAGGATTGTGTGTGCACATGTGGCATGAGCTGAATACGCCGTATGCATGTTTTTGTGTTTGATTAAAGTATGCTGCAGATTGAAATGTGAATGGGGGAGAAAACCAAACAAGTTGATCGATAAGCCTGAGAATATCCAGGCTTTATGGTGATACTACCGTCATATAAACTTGTTTGACTGTGTCAACATACAGTGGTAAACAGATTGGATACTTATTAACCACATTGTTGGGAATGATAAACTGAAGAAGGAATAGAGTGTAAAAAAACCCCAAAACAAAGTCTTGTCATTAACGGTAATAAAACTGGAAGTTGTTTTAAGACTTTATGATCGACACATGTCCTTGTTTTCTCCAGGCTATCACTGCTGCTCAGAGGCGTGGGGAGGACCTCGAGACAACAAAAAAATGTAAATGTCCTGTTATATTTTAATTAAAACACCACAGCTCACTTTTATGACCTCGTAGCAGCATCTTAATGCACTTGTTAGACTCCTCTTTACGCCACCCATTCTTCCCCATTCTTGCAATTCATAACTTGGGCCCACTCGACTGGTCTTGCAGGGTCTGCGGGGCAAAACAAGCAGCACCTCGTAACAAAAAATACAGCCAAGCTGGATAGGGAGACAGAGGAGCTTCACCACGATAGGGTTCCGCTGGAGGTTGGAAAGGTCATTCAGCAGGGCCGACAGGCCAAAGGACTGACCCAGAAAGACCTAGCCACGGTGAGTAGACGCACTACTGGACACTCCCGAGAGTCAGAAACATGATTGACAGATAGAAGCGTAACTTGGATTATGGATCAAACCAAAGGAAACTGGGGGAAATTGGATTTTCTTAACTGAAATTAGATTTTCTTTTCTCAAGGAAGCACATCCTTTCATCTACAAACATAACTGTAGTGGCTAAGGTTTTTCCAATCTTTCATCACCCCTCAGCTCAGCCCATAAGGATTGAATTGTCAGCTGTAGGAACTTATTAGATGCATAAGTTAATTTGTATATTTTACATCATAAGTTGGTACACATATTTGATGTGTTGCTATCATTTCATTCAGAAAGTAAATGAGAAGCCTCAGGTGATTGCTGACTATGAGTGTGGAAGGGCAATACCCAACAATCAGGTGATGGGCAAAATTGAGAGGGCAATCGGTAAGAATACATTTTGCTTACACTAATATATATTTTTTAAAGTTATTGTCATTACATAAAATGGATTCTTAGTCGCAAACATTTGGCCCACCTTTTCATGTTCTGGCAGGCATGAAGCTGCGTGGGAGGGAAATTGGCCAACCCCTCGAGGCCATACCCAAGAAGAAATGAACACAAAGCCTCGAAATCAGCCCTCCCTTCCCCATCTTTAACCATAACCCCGACCCTCCTCCAAGAGCCCTCAAATACTCCCCCTTCTCTCCCTCCCCTACCCCTGTCCCTTACCCGGGCTGATCTCACCGGTGTCCTGCTGAGGACCTGGTGCTCCTACTGCATCGCAGGCTGCATACTTAAGTCATCTGAAACACCCTCTTGACACCATAAATGAATGATCGAATGCTTTTTTCAGCATCTCAAACTTGAAGTTCAGTGAATTTCTTTTTCACCTATGTCTGTTTAGGCTTTGGCATGACGAAATTCCACTTTTTAACAGTGATGGCAAATCATTGAAAAGGTGAATTCTTTCTCATGAACAAGTTGGACGAACTAACTTAAAAATCTGAGCATGAAATTAAACCAGAAGTGCTTGATTGCATCTTTTTTCACACTTTTTAGACGTTAGGTGGATGTTAAAGTGATGAAATGTTTTAATGCTGTGCTTTGTTTTGATCTAAAAATAAAGTTTGGCAGTACGTGCTGTGTGTGCCTGTGAATTTAAAGCTTCAACAGCGATTTTTGTTTATATTTTTTGTTCCATTTATTAAATAACTTTCAATGAATTAATTGCAAGCGATATGCCAGGACTAGAACAAGTGACTGTGCTTTTTTTTTTTGACAAACCTGACTGCACCACCATGACCAAGCCACAAGATGTCAGTAACAGCATACAAGACATTTGAACCAAAATTTAAGTATCATTAAAAAGAGAACTATTTAGCTCTGAATATTACAAATATAACCTGTCCAGGGTGTACTATAACTTTAACCCAATCACAGCTGGGATTGGCTCTAGGCCCCATGACCCTTCCAGGATTAGTCGGTATAGACAATAGATGGGACTTCATGAAAGCGATCTTTAGAGGTTCACTTCCACACATTCTGTACCATTTGGTACTGATGTTGTCGTTGCCAACAGTGAGGCTGCCTTCTGTTTAACTGAAAGATTAATGAACCTTATTGTTGCAGCATGGCAAAGGAAGTGCAAGTGGGACAGGCCGCATTCCTTTTTTCTTACATGTCGGCTCAAAGGCTGGCAGAGGCTGAAGGAAGCAGAAGAGGTCAAATTTATCGATGAGGTCAGTCCACCCGAGCAGCCTTTTAAGTTGGCGTTGCTGCGGAAACGGGGAAGTCTACAAACCCCTTTAGCTGCACAGAGCAGAGGGAAACGTCCGAAGGAGTTGGCAGCTGTGTGCGTCATCCGCTTGTTTGGAAAAGATGCTCCTCAGGATGCTAGTGACACGGAAAGCCTGTGTAGCCTGTAATGCCCCATAGGACCAGATGTTTTCCAGAGACGTGGAGTTTGTGTTCTCGTTAAGCACTGGCCAATGTGCTGTACACCAGTCACTCAAACTTTTCCGTCTAGAACAATATAAAGAACAACTGAAGCTGTGTGACCCCGTGATGGACTGGTGACCTGTCCAGGGTACACCTCACGCCCAGTGTCTGCTGGGATAGGCCCCAGCCCCTCTGTGACCCCATGAAGGATACGCAGTATGGACAATGAATGAATGAATAATTAAAGCTGCTACTCAAAACAAAAACACATGGTTTGTATTTGGGTATTGCTTTTATAGATATGAAATATCCTTAGTCACTTTTTTTTTTACCACTCTGTCAGAGAAATAAGGGGGAAAATGTCCTCACTTATTTTATGTGAATTCACTTACTTAAATTCTCTTCAAAGTCCATTCAGTGCTACCGTATTCAGATTATTTTTGCTTGTTCTTTGTTCCTTGATTTTGTGCCAAACAGGTTGGTAATTTGCATTTTTCTCCCAGCGAGCAGTTGTAACCTCCTGAACGGTGTTCACAGGAGAAACAAAGACAGGGCATGGCCGTTGTTACCAGGGGGTTGTTTGGATTCTGGCTGAACACTGCGAGAGTGTGTGTGTGCGTGTGTGAGACAGATGCCGACTGCCTTCCTGGAAATGCCATTCCATTGGTCAAAACGCCATAGCAACGTCGTTCCACCTATGACAACGGAGCAGCCAGTGGTTTTTAAGGAGTGATGTGAAGCAGAAAGCCGCGTTACTGCTGGAGGGACTCGTGGGTGGGGGATTTGGGTGGGGGAGAAGTCTTGGATCTGTTTTGACCTGAAGCTCCAAACTAGAATTGAGATTCCACAACCTGTTGTCGACTGGCGCAATGTATGGGAGTTTTCCAGCTTACTCTCTTCATTAGTTCTGCAGCTTTCAGAGCTGAATGTTGCCTTTGTTGAATAAACTTCAGAAAACTTAAACATTTTCAACATAAAATTGTCAAAAAAAGGCAGAAACTACTTGAAGACCAATGCAACAAGCTTCCTGATGCTACATGATTTGACAATCTGCTTCCAAATGTCCAGTGACATTTTTTTTGCATTGTGTCACAATTTGATCATTTATTTTAATCTATGATACTATGAAAAAATGTTCAACACATCAGATACTGTCAGAAAATATATGCACAGTTTATTGATAGTTGCAAATAAGCAGAGGCACACAAAATAATGCAGATCAATTACAGATTAGTTTGGGTCACGTTTTCCTTCTCAAAAAAAACAGTCATGGACAAAAAACTGCATGCAGATGGTTTGTTTCTTGCAACACTAGTTTTTATTGGGAATTATTTGTCGGGAGTTAATGTTTGATTCTTGAAGCTTCCTCTGAAAATCAAAAGAACAAACAGTAGAATTTCCAGTGACTGCTACAGGTAAAGAAATGACAAATATTTTGAAGCTACTCATGACCATGGCTTTTTTTTTTAAAGACCTGCTTGGGCTCCTTTGTTTATATTTTCCTTTAAAAAAAAATCTACAAATCACTGTACAAGGTCAGCACTGGAACGTTCTGTGAAAGGCCTGTTTCACAAAGAACTAGTCGCCAGCAATATTTACATTTGGTTTGAGTCACTGTAACATACAAAGAACAAGATGCATCGTGACAAATGGAAGAAGGCTTAAATATGTGATAAAAAAAAACAAACAAGCAGGGTGAGCAAAGATCGATTGCTGCCAGTTGTCTCGCTGGTTCACGCTGGAGGAATCTCCCTTTGATCATTCTGACTAGAAAAGTAGCATCCAAAGACGCTAGAGGAGTTTGTGTCGCCTGCACGGTGTGGCACTACGTGCCCACGATTAGACATGTGAGAGAGAGAAGGTGCAAAACAGGACGAAATCTGCATTTATGCTGTAATATGGAAAAAAAAAAGTTAGCTGCACAATTAGACATTACTGGCAGATACAGACTCGGGTTAGGAGTTATCAGTCTTCCTCAGTGTGTAAAATGTCTCCACTGTTAATTTAATAAATACGATACAGTGTCAAACAAGGAACTTTGGTAAGTATATTATGTATTTATGAACACCGGTCTTCCTCAACAACACAGGAATATGTTTTTATCTTTTTATTGTGTCCATAATTAGAGGACTATTCAAAGCATAGGTGAATGTTTTTCACCTTTTTTTATTTATTTTATTTTCTTGTCGTTGTTGTCAGAAGCGGGATGGCGAAGGCGGGACTGATTCGCTCCTCGTGTGTGTGTGTGTGTGTGTGTGTCCAGGAGTAACACTAAGGGGTTCACAGTTCTTCAAGAGGGTCACGCTATCTGGACCTATCTGCAGTGTCTAGACGTTAATTTAGACGCGACGAGTCTTTCACATACGCGTGTTCACGCGTGACTTCGGCGGCGAGCCGTCACGGCAGCGGGTAGAGCAGCTCGGCGGTGTGGCAGAGGGACAGAGGGTGGGCCGAGGAGAAGTACTGGCAGCACAGCCAGTCCTCCAGCTCCGCGTTCCTCTCGGGCTCCAGGGAGCGCTCGGCGAACTTCATCATCAGCAGGGCCCTCTTCACGTCCAGCCAGTTGAGGAGGCCCTCGTGCCGCGAGCCCTCGGCGAAGCCCCCCCCCCCCCGCCGCCGCCTCTCCCACTGCTGCTCCATCAGGTCCCTGCGGGGCCCCCAGAGCAGGCTCTGCAGCACGCGCTTGGCCTCCTGGATGTGGATGCGCTTGATGGGGTCGGGCTGGAGGAGGAGCTGCGCCAGCCTCTGGAGGCCCGCCGAGTAGAGCGAGACGGGGGGCACGGGGGGCAGGTCCTCGCAGCGGTAGTCCTGCTCCCGCAGCGCCGGCCTCATCTCGAACGGGTTGGGCTGGTGGAGGAGCTCGTAGATGAGGATGCCCGTCTGGAACTCGTCGAACTTGCGGTACTGGGCCGCCGACACGATCTCGGGCGCCAGGCGGGCGTGGTCCCGCTTGAGGCGGGGGTCCCCGCCGCAGGAGGCCGCCTCCTCGGGGGAGCGGCGCTTGGCCTTGGCGAAGTTGCTGATGAGGAGCCGAGGGAGGTGGCGCTGGGCGTCTCCGTTGGCGGCGGGGTTGGGCGGGGCGGGGGGGGCGGGCCGGCGCTGGTGAGGCACCAGCAGCAGGTTCTCCAGGCACAGGTGGCGGTGCGTGACCCCGTGCTCCTTCAGGTGCTCCAGCCCGTTGCAGAGCTGCAGCAGGAGGAAGCACACCCGCCGCTCGTACACCTCCGGCTGGGCCCGGTGGAAGTCTGCCCACTCCCGGACGAAGTCGGCCGCCGTCCGCTGCGGGATCTCCGGCGTGATGACCACCACCCGCTCCCGGTCCGTCTGCTGACTCTGCACGGATGAGGATGAGGATGAGGAGGAGGAGGAGGGGGGCGGAGGCTGGGAGGGAGGGGTCGCCGCGCTCGGGGGGGACAGTTCTTCTGAAGGCAGCATGCTTTGGGGTACACAGGCAAGGAAGTGGCCACAATCCTGCTGGAGGTTGAAGTGAGGGGGGATGCTCTGCTGCACCGACAGGCCGTACAGATGACCCTGCTTGGCCTCAATGGACGGACTTTTGCAGATCTGAAGAGGGATGCAGAACAAAAAAAAAACACTAGTCAGTTCCCTTACAGGTTTACGCCAGTTTCTGTTCTGATTGAAGTGAAATCTGCACCCTTGATGCTTATGTAGACTACTTATAGAACCAAAAGGTTTATACAAAAGATGCTGGAAACCACCAGAAATAACAGCAGTTTAAAATACTGTTATGAATCAGCATGCTTCACACAAAGTCTGAATAATCTTTTGTTCGTGCACTAGGATCAGATTTACAGTACACTACACTAACTAAACTAAAACTCTCTTTAAAGGAGTTAAAATCTAAGGAAGCAGAACCCTGGAAGTCACAGAAAAATCATTACATGCAGCAGTTCTGTTGTGGTGTTGGACACAATTGCTGATTATAGATTACAATATTACAAGCGTTTAAGCAGAGTGCTTTCATCCTATTTGGCTTGTGTGCGTGTGTGTGTTTTTGTGTACGTTCGTGTTGGCCTTGACAACAAGAATCTGTCGGACTGGTAAATCCTTCCAGGAATGTAAAGATTAATTGGGCCTAAAATTATTAAGCAACAGTGCGGCCGGCCAGACTCTGACATAACGCGTAAAACACCAACAGCTGCTGCTTTGTATAGCGGCAATAACTCCAGCACAAAGATCAGTCAGACTGGATCCACACCCTGCTCCCTCATTGTTTACTCCAGATGTCCTGAAGGTGTGAGCTGTAAAAAGGGACATCCTGATA